CAGTTGTTTCCCAACTAATCAAAGAGTCGGGGGCTACACAAATACAAGGCTCAAAATTTGACAAATTTTATGTCAAGCTGAAGAAATCAATTCATCAACCAACGAGTCAACTCCAGGAGTCATTATCTTCATCTTTGATTTGGAGCAGACATTCTACTTCAACAACTTCAAATATTTCGGTTTAGACGAGTTGGGCAACAACATCAACTCTCCTCCAATTATTTGTCTTCACGGTTGGCCTACTACGCAACTGCCGATAGAGGATCTCATCGTTATCATCGGCTGCTACATCGCTATTGACTGGATCACCGACATCGTCATCTTCATCAACATCTTGTCAAGCCTCTTCAACATAGCCTACTCTGCTGCCGTTGATGGGAAACTTCGTCATCATAGTCGGCTATCTCTGTTGCCGCTAATCATCATTACCGTCGGATGCGTTTGTCGCCGCCGATTATTTTCTTCATCTTCATGATTGGTGGATTTCGCCATCACCGTTGATGCGCGTCTACGTCTTCATCGTCGGTTTGCTTTTGTCACCACCGACTGTTCTTTCGTTGTTGTTGGGCGCCTACATCTTCACTGCTAGCTGACCTGACTGTTGCCGACTGGTTTCTTCGCCTCCATGGTTATGCAACTTCATTACCTTTGATTGGTGTCACTGTTTTTACTACCACTGACATCTTCCGTTACTTCTGATGAGCAATTTCGTCTTCATGTTGGTCATTTCATCTCCATGCCGACTGCGTCAGCTATTGCCAATAGACAATTTTGACTATGACAGAAGGACAAGCTATATGCTCAGGGGCTCATCAACTCAAGCGTGAGGATTATATCTCCAATTTGGACTTGTTCCGGATACATTCCACATGGATTCATAGTCATGAGTCTATTTTCTATGCTCAAAGACTGGACCAATTATTATTCCCCGTAAGGGCTATCAACCGAATACTTGCGCCAGTCGGGATTCAATTATTATATTTATTTTGGAGTATCCCATAAGGGATAATCATTCAGATCAGAAGCTATTCATATGAGCTACACTTGGTCTATATTACCCGGAAGATTTATTACTCGGGAGCATGTTACATGCGTCATCCTTTAAAGGGTGTCGAAGGCATATTTTTTGGCCTAGGCCTAATATGTCTGCAGCCCATATTTTCAGGTGTGGCCTGTCACGTTCTTTTAGGGACTTAGGCACTTTTCGCTTAGGCCAAAGTGCGCGTGATCAAGTGCCCAATACCTTAAAATCCTTTTATACCGCAGTTACTCGACTTTTTAGGAGTTGGTACAATGCATCTTAAAAGGTGTCAAACAGTAAAGCTTTATATAGCTGCCCCGCTGACTTTTTTATATAGTCAAGGTGCTGTTTGGGTTTATCAAGCAATTGATTGGATACAATATCATTGCTTTTTGCCACGTAAGTGTGCATTTTTATTGACCAATATTATGGCTTAGGCTGATTATATATTATGGTCATTTTTCAGGCGGTTGGTAAATCCTTTATGAGTTTACTTACTCGGATGTTATACCACATGTGCCATATATTTCCAGGTGTGGTGAAACAATGTGTCTTTTATGGACTTAAGCACATCTGTTAAAGCAGTGTGCGCATGGCGTATGCCCAATACTTTGAAAATTTCTTTATTCACAGCATTCAAGCTTCTTTATAGTTGTTTTGCTATGTGAACTTTCAAAGATGTTGTCAACTTTAGGTTGTACGCATCATATTTTGCCAAGCAGTCGGTATATCACTTGGATCATATTATTCGGGGATTCACACCGCATATGCTATACATTGATATCAAGTCACTTGGTTGATTACAATTATCAAAACCACTCGGTTGGTTAGATTATTTATTCCTTGACTATATGTTTGGTTGGTTCAATTAACCACATAGTCGGGGGCTACACCTATTAGGTGCATCTATTCGATGCACCTGACTATATTTTTCAGCCCTCCACAGTCTTCAGATTTGGTAAAAGTACTCGGGAGACCATGGCGAAGATAATTGAAGCACTCGGCTTTGGAGTAATCTAGTTCGAGAGAAGGTTATCTTTTCGGCTGTGAAGGTCTCAGGGGCTACTGTGGAGATTATGGGTACCCCATACCCACACGACATGGTTATCCGACTAGTCTTAGGGGATAGCTTATATCTATGGAATATGTAACAGATCATGACTTGGGTATTACGTTTCCCTGTATATTATGGAACGGCCTAAAGTCCTGGTTTGATAAGATTGTAAAGTAGATTTAGGAAACCGATACCGTGTTGGTTAAGGTTTCTATCTTGTAATCCTGCCCTCCACCCTATATAAGGTGGGCAGGAGGCCCTCTAGGGGGCATGAGACAACCTGATCGTCAGATCAATACACACTCGGCGGATTCAAATCCCCAAACAGGAGTAGGGTATTACCTCTCATTGAGAGGGCCTGAACCTGTCTAAATCCTTTGTCTCTGCATCCATCCACTTTTAGGTCTCGTGCGCTACCCCCTTTTATTATTGCCGAATTCATGTTTCGACAATTTGTTTTCTTCTAAATTAAGATCCAAATTAGAGGTATTATGAAACCATGTGCAGTGTGGTATAGCGTGGAGTGGAAACAAGAGGGGGCCGGGTCAATTCTTTTCCATTGTATCTATGCCGTCCTTTTCCCTCTTACACGATCCATCTCTCCTCAACTTTACATTTAATTACACAAGTAACTAATTAATTAAGGGAGAGAGAAAAGACACCATGAGTGCATGACCATGAGGGGTGCCCTTTGTGGAGGGGTAAGGTATTTACGTAGTTAAAGGCAGCTTTGGAACATTTAGATTTAAAAATACTCCATTCATCCCAAATTATAAGACATATTTTTTTACATAGTCTCCAATGATATACTTTGATCATTAATTTATTCCATACTATATTCCAATAAATATGAAATTAGCATCACACGAAAATAATTTAAATTATAAAACTAGTGATATAACATGCATAATACTTAGCATATACTATATGATTAGTATGATTAGCAGTTAAAAGTTACCGAGTTTAATTTTTATTATAAAAAAAGGGTGCCCTATAATTTGGGACGGAAGGAATAATAGGTATTAGTGTTCAATTACAGATCAATGTAAAACTAGAGATATTTTACCGTCTTTAAGGGAGTATTATATATAGTTTTTAACATTTACCCCAAGGTATGTACTCCCTTCGTTTAAAAAAAAAGACAACCTAGTATTAGAATGTGACATATTCTAATACAACGAATCTAGACATAGAGTATGTCCAGATTCATTGTACTAGGATGTGTCACGTCGTAGGACGAGGTTGAGTCTTTTGGGACGGATGGAGTATACATGTACTCCTACAAGACATGATTCATGCACGCGTCTAATTTAAGCAGCATTATATCTAAAGTAAGTTTCTTTTATCTAGTACTTTATATACAAATCTTGAGTACTACTGCAATATCTTTAAGTAAATTCAACTCCATCGATCTGTTCCTAGCTAAAAGAAAGTCATTTTAGGTTATTTTGCATAGATTAATGTTTGAGAAGAGAATAGACTTAGCGCTCCTTTTTTTTTTTTGAAAACATAGTGCTTCTTATTAAATGATGTTTTATGGGGAGTGGGAAGGTGGAGAGGTAGAATGTAGAGAAATTTGAACTTAAGGGTGTGTTTAGTTCACGCTAAAATTAGAAGTTTGGTTAAAATTGAAACGATGTGATGGAAAAGTTGGAAGTTTATGTGTGTAGAAAAGTTTTGATGTGATAGAAAAGTTAGAAGTTTGAAGAAATAGTTTGGAACTAAACTCGGCCTAAGGTGATTGACATGATAAGTACTACTCTATAGTGATTATATAGTAACTTTACTTTTGATCCAGAAACATAACCAAAAGTTGATATATTTTTGGGTAGAGAGGAATTATTCTTTTTAGGGTGGAGCTTAGGTACACTAGTTTTTTTCCCCTTGCAGAAATGATATGGAAATGCATGCATCGTACGTTAATTGCTACTGATGGTGGAGATGAATTTTTTAGAAGTACTCAACGGCTTAATAGGACTCATACCGGTGAATTGATCTGGTATTACCGCCTTATGTTTTTTAGTGAAAGTGGAATATATTGATGTAATTCTCCTTGCAAATAAAGGAGAGAAATAATGTACTACCGGCCAGTGGATAAACAGCATTAATTAATTAGTTAATACGGTAAAACCTGGTCAAGTAGCTAGCAGAAGTTGCATAGAAGAAACATTAATGCGTGGTTAAATTCTCAGGATATCACCTTGTGCTACTTGACTTAATAACTGAACTTAATTATATTCCGTACAGAGTTGAGAGCATGCACGCGTGTATAAGAATTTTCAAGAGCTTTGCATATTTTCTCATATACGTAGATAGAATTAATCCGACACAAATTAAATAAGTACGAATACTTTTGAAATTTTGACTATCGATAATTTCTTTGAAAATATTTAAAAACGTTTGAGCATTTTATATTTTTTTAAGAAAAAAACTATATCATAATATCATATATACTTATTTTCCCAAAATATATTAGATTTTATAAATTTAATTTAATATAAAATTGATCAAAGTTAACTTAAAAAATTAAACCAGAATTGTCTTGAATACTATTTATGAGTGGAACGAGTATATTACTAAGTATGGTTCTAACAAAAGATATGAAGCTAGGGGCCTGTTCGGCAAGCTGGGCTGCTGCAGCCCCTGCTATCTTGTGGCTTGCCGGACTGTTCAGGTCCTCGGCTGCCGAACATGCCCTAGAGCAATGGCTGCAATGCAGTAGAGGCTGTAGGTTAACCTAATTAACGCTGCTGAAAGTATTGCTACGTGCAGGAATTTATTTTTGAACGAAACGTGCAGGAAAATCAAACTGAAGAAATTGAAATGTGAACACTAATACTAGTTCAAAACGACCATATCCATGCATGAACGCTTGAATAAATACCAGTAGACAAAAAACAACGACGACATTAATAAAGGCGGGAGACAGAAGTTTGAATCCAGTCCTGCCATGCAAAGAGTGGCAGACTGTTAAAAAAGCACTGTATTTTTAATTTATTGGTGTAATCATGTAAATACATATACACATATGCACATAATTATTTGCAAAACCCTATTCTCATGCACATATCGGCATGGACTGCCTAGCTAGCTAGTCACTCAGTGCTGCATGCATTGCTTATTTTTACGTATAGTACCAATTCAATCCTGCAGATTAATTTATTTACCCAAAAAATAACTAACTAGAAAAAAAATGAATGAATCCATCCCAAGTTAAATGTTATTTGTTAAATTGCCCCCGGTTTTTCTTAGTCTCGTCCTCTGAATTGTACATGGTGAAGCCGCGATGAACCATTCAAATTACAGCCTGGACATGATCATATGTCTTCCTTGCGTGACCTCATGCTTGTCTATGTTCTCCAAAACTGCGGTAGCCGCCGATGTTACGAGCTCTGCAAGATCTCTGTAGAGGCAGATCACCATTACAAATGCGTCAGTTGCGATCAAACGAGAAGCTAACCGAGCTTAGCTACTAAGTATGAGAATATAATGGCGCCAAATGGCTGCAGCATTTTAAACCTACCCTGTGGCTGTGTCGTAGGTGAGGCCGACTGTGTTCTTGACCTCGCGTAGCGCGAATTTGAAGCGTTCAATGTCGCGGGGATGGTGAGCGACGGACTCGACGACGGCCTGCGGGAGGACGAGATCCGAGGGTTTGATGTTGTAAAACACCGGGATGATCTTTTTCCGTGACTCGACGAGGAGGGCGAGCTCGCGGAGGCAATACTCGGAGTCGCAGTAGTGCGGCGAGAAGATGGCCACCGCGACGCCGCACTGGCTGATGGCCTCGCTGATCCGCTCGTCGAGGCGATCGCCGGGGCGCATTGACTGGTTGTCCAGGAAGGCGCGGACGCCCGCGGCGACGAGGCGGTCGTAGAAAAGCCGCGCCACCGTCCTCTTGGTGTCCACGCCCCTGTGGTTGATGAAAACGTCGTAGCGCGCCTCCCCCCGCGCATCCTCCTCGTCGTAGTACTCCACCCGTCTCGCCACCGCCGCCTTCTGCTTCTCCCCCCTGCTGCTGCTGGTGGCCGCAACCGCCGCCTCAGCCGACGCGTTTAGCCGCGACGCGATGGTGCACCGGCGGCCGCGGGAAAGCCCGGTGGACGACATGATCAAACGACCGATATATAGCTAGTGATATCGATCAAGAAATGTCTCCTAGAATACTGCGAGAGCGCGGAGAAATCCAAGAGTCCAAGACGTTCTCTAGTTAGCTGATCGAGCTGCCGCGATCCCGATCAAGTTGATCTTGATCGATCGAAACGTCTCTGAACAATTTGAGTGGAAGCAGCAAAAACTCCAACAAAATAGAGATCGATCGCTACGAGTTAGTTTGTGAATTGTGATGCCTGATATGTGGATGAGGGGATGGGCCGGCATGCATGCGTTTATAAAGGATTGGGTTCGGGGTGGTCATGGTCGCATCGCGCGCGCATGGGAACATTTTAATTATGACATGAAAGTACTGAGTAAGTTATCCGCGCACAGTCCCCGGGCGGGGAAATTTGTTATTTTAATAGTCAGATTTCGCTTTGAGTAGTATTATCAATCCAAAGATCAGACCGTCGTCAGTCCACCGTCAATCCACCCCGTGGCTTATGCTAAGACGGACTATATAATTATTATGTTTTCTGGTCCCCTATATATAGTACAACAAACAGATATTCTGCATGAATTCAGACCAAATATTATACAATCCAAAGAGCGATTCGCTACTTTTCAAGCTCTCCTCTCCAAGCAAAAGCATATACATTACTGGATTTTCTTCGCTCGAGCGTTTCAAAAGTTTGAATTTTCCTCGCTCGAGCGTGCACACACGCGTTGCGTTAGACCTGCAGATCTTTGCAGTATTTTGGCGAGACTCTGCGCAGCGTGCAGCCAAAGGCAAAAAACACTCCGTGCAGAAGATTGAATAGAAATTTTGTGGAGGTGAGAACCATTCAAATACTTGAACGACGGGGCTACGCTGAACTGCAGCAATCAATGGGACAGGAATACTACTGCAACGATGTTTGGGGTCGGGAGGAGGATCGGAGGAGGGGGGAGCCGTACGATCGCCGGGTGACGTGCGAGAGTGATGACGTCACACGTTGGACTGTCCCCCTCTCATCTCACGTGTCTGCCCCACGGTTTGACTTATTGATGCGTTCAAAAGTTCCACGGGCTGCTGGGCTGGCTGCGCCACCGGTACGGTCGCTGTAATAAAATACGGAATTGCTAAACTACAGTCAATAGAAAAGCTACCTCTAAATCTTATAAATTTTGGTTCACTAGATATGCTTCGCGATTCGTGCTCCAACTGCTTCTTCTTCAACCCCAACAAACTCCTCTTCTTCCCCGACGCCGGCGATAACCCAAACTCCGGCGAAGGGCCGACGAATTAGGTTCCCGGGGTAGGGTGGGGTTCGAGGGGTGGGAAGGGAGGAAGAAGGGGGAGTTCGCCGGGCTTAGAGGGATGGTCGTGGGCGGCGGCGGCCCGGAGGTGGGCGGCGGGTCGGGTGGGCGGCGAGGCGCCGGCGGCGCTGCCGGAGCCGCAGGGCTGGAGGAGGGCGGTGGGCCAGCGTCGGTGGTGGGGGCATCTCGCCGCCGACAGCTCGAGGAGGAAGGAGGGGAGGAGGGAGGAGAAGGAGGGGGAGGAGGATGGTAGGGGGGAGGGAGTCTCGCCGGCGCCGTTGACGCCCTCCAGCCAGCCGGCGAGGCGGGCGGCGACGCGGTGGGGTGGTGGCGGCGGGGGATCGGGTGGAGCTGCGGAGGAGCTCGCGAGCGTGATGGGAGGGAACGGGAGGAGGAGTTGTAGGGTTAATGTATCTTCATGAATCATAAAGCACATCCAATGGTTCAAAAATTGAAAGATGGGAGGTGGGATTTTCTGTCAACAGATGTATAGATAGTCCCAATATAATAATAATAATAATAATAATAATAATAATAATAATAATAATAATAATAATAATAATAATAATAATAATAATAATAATAATAATAATAATAATAAAGAAAAGGTGAACTTTAACCGCACCATCGTCGAGTTGAAATGAAGTCCACGAAGATTAATTTTTGGGGGTTTCGGGTGTACTTCTAATTTCGATAATCGTTTCCTTTTGAATGTGAAATTAATTTGATATATAGTCGAAGGCACGCAATCTGCTTGATAATGACTTGTTTGGCCAGAAATTAATATGAGGAAGAGACAAAGTGTAATTAAAGACTTAGGAGTACGTGTGTTCCTAGAAAGTAGACATATGTGTACGAGTGTACACCATGTCTATTGATGTAGTTCAAAAAAGCCGACGTTGAATACTTTATTTGTTCATGCAAATACATTGTTATTGATATGTTTTAAGGGAATACTTCAAAAATGTTTGAATCTCAATAGCCTTTTAGTCGTATTGAAGATACTTGAAATTGGTAAATTGATGGATTATGTGGTATTTGTGATAGCTGTTTGAGGATATAAACGATTGAATTAAATAGCATAAAGTTGAAAAGTTAGGAAACATGCAAACGAAAATCCCAAATCCAGAATAAGAAAAGAACGTGGCTTTAAAACTAGCATTGGATTCATGAGAAACTTATTTGTGTATTTGTTTAGAAAATAATATTGTTATATTACCAAGTTAATAAAATAATTATGTTACGGTAATTCCTTCGTTCCAAAATTTGACTCAGTCACGTAACCATTTTTTAATTTTAAGTTCGACCAAATTTATAGAAAAAGCATAAAAACATTTAGGGGTTGTTTATATTGCAGCCAAAATAAACCTTACCAAATTTTGGTAATGCCAAAATTTTGGTAATTTGGCTATTATGTATTTACTAAAGTTTGATAATAAACTAAATGAACGCATATATTTGGCAACTCTATCAACAAATGTTATGATTTAAAATGGCATCAATCTGAACAAGCCCTTAAGCCCTTAGAACATCAAACAGATTATATACATATATTTAGCGGTGGATTTAATAAAACCAACTTGGTATTGTATATGTTGCTATATTTTCTAAACTTAAAGATGTTTGACTTAGCACAAAACCAAAACATGTTATATTTTAAAAAGGAAGGAGCAGAAATTAGTTGTTAAAATTATATTTTCAAGACTGTATTGATACCCAAAAGACACATTTCTAAGGATAGATGGAGTAATACACTAGGTTTACATATAATTAGAATAACCACTAACACAGTAAGTTTATATGTAATTAGAATATCAATTAATTAAATGAGAACATGCACTGGCCCAAAATTCTGTATTAGACTTGGACTATAATTTAATATGACGTATATTAATTTACATAAATATGATTTTCCATCTCTGTATAAATTAAGTTGGTTATTCATTGGTTATATAAGTTGGTTGTAAGGATAGTGGTAGAGCCGAGCTCTTATCCCAGTCCCTGTTCTTAAACAAATACTCCTAGGTACCATCAGTCCTTAAAAAAACGTTATCATCATTAATAGGTACCATCAGTTTGTACCTACATGACGACTAGTATATGAACTGATCACATCCTAACTAGCTCATAATCATCACCTAGAAGTGCAGGTTTTGGCATAACTTCGTTAACAAATATTTCATCTCGATATTATCATCACTTGGATTTTCTACTATGTTCTTACTTGTTTCAACTACCGAGATTTATATCAATTCATAGCTTTTATAACACGTTTCTTTACTATCTTCGGTGTTCCTTATTTACTGTACTCTTACTTTCAATAGGATTTAATTTACATACTCCCTCCGTACTAGTAAAGGAAGTCGTTTAAAACAGCGACACGGTCTTCAAAACATAACTTTGACTTTGTGTTTCTATAAAAATATTTATTGAAAAGTGATATATGTATATTTTTATGAAATTATTTTTCAAGACAAATCTATTCATATAATTTTTACATTTTCAAACTCAATAATTTTAGAGGTATTCACGATTTATATTTCCAAGATTTGATTTAAACATTGTCCTAAACGACTTCTTTTACGAGTACGGAGGGAGTATAACCGCTACAATTTGTAAGTTCTAATAATGCCCTGGCTTTCACTTTTAACATAAATAAATCCACTTCCAACTTAAGACTGTGTTGTTCAGTGTTTATTGGGTACCTACTACCTCATTTTTCGTAAGCACATATTTCAAAATGCTAATGCTCAACTCAACTAATCCTATGCTAATAGGTCTTATTGTTTTGTGTGCTGTGAAAAAGCCTAACCATTAAGCCATATGAAATGAATCATGATTAAGTGGTTATAGTTCTTGTTGAGCAGTGCAAATAGTCATTCCTATATTTTTTTATAGAAGATCTATTCCCTCTTAAAAAGTCAAATCCTAAAAATAAATTTGGATATATAAGATTCATCTCGAGGATTAAGGTTTTTTTTACAGAGGGAGTATGTTATACATCTCTACTATTATAAAAATTGAAGATGTTTTGCCAGTATTTTGGTACGTTATTCGTGTATGAGTCGGTTTTAAGTTTGTTTGCTTTTGGAAATACATATCCGTATTTCAGTTGGTTTTTAAGATAGTTCACTTTTGGTAATACAAAAGGAATCATATAAAAAATCTGTTTAAAAAACTCACATGTTAACTTGAGACAATCGGACTCCTATCTGTAGCTCATGATTTTCTAAAAGAATATATATGCACGCAAACTTCCACAGTAAATTTCATCTTAAATAAACCATATAACAATAATAAGATTAAAATAGACTTCACCCGTTACAACGCACGTGCATTTTTTTTCTAGTACCATAAAAATTCTCAGTCATCCGAGTAAACATATCTAATTTTTACTACTACTAAATTGGTTGTACTAGATGGTTGAACGTCGGGGATTTTATTGGCTTGAATTCCTGCACGCATACATTTCCTAAGTTTCCGATAATTAGTTGACAACCCATTTTCCAGGCAAACGTTAAATCACTAGTGCTGGAATCTGAGGATACATTTTTGGAGAAGTCAAGGGACATGTTTGCTACACGCGCTGAGTCACCGACCAATGGGACCCACCCCTAGCCCGGCACGTCGGAAGGCCACTACCGCAGTGTGCGCCCCAAAATCGCCGCCGTCCCCCGTCTCACTCCCCGCCGTTCTCCTCCTCCTCCGCCGCCGCCGCCGTCCCGCCCGCCCGCCGCCACCGCCCACATGTGGGAGCGCGGCAGGCTACCCCGCAAGCCGCGACCGTCCCCTATCCTCGTGCCGCCGCCGCCGGCGTCCCCGCCGCCCCCGCCCCGCCTCCTCGCCTTCCTCCTCCCTAGATCCCTCCTCTCGCTCGCCGCCCGCGCCATGCCGTCGCGCCGCCCGTCTCCCCTGCTCCTCCTCCTCCTCGCGCTCGCGCTCGCCTTCCTCTTCCTCCTCCTCTCCCCATCCGCGCCCTCCGCCTCCCACCTCTCCAGCTCCCTCGCCTCCGCCGCCGCCGCCGTTTCCACTCCCGCGTCCTCCCCTCCCGCCCCCGTCAAGATCTACATGTACGACCTCCCCGCCAAGTTCACCTACGGCGTCGTCCGCAGCTACATGGCGGCGCGCGCCCGGGCGGGGGCGGCGGGCGCGGCATCGGCGATTCCCGACGACGAGCTGCGGTACCCGGGGCACCAGCACTCGGCGGAGTGGTGGCTCTTCAAGGACCTCAGGCGCCGCGGGCCACTCGACCGCCCCGTCGCCCGCGTCGACGACCCGGCCGACGCCGACCTCTTCTACGTGCCGTTCTTCTCCTCCCTCAGCCTCGTCGTCAACCCGATCCGCCCATCGGCGGCCGCCGCCAATGCGTCCGACGCGGCGGAGCCCGCGTACAGCGACGAGTCCACGCAGGAGGAGCTGCTGGTGTGGCTGGAGCGGCAGCCGTACTGGCGACGGCACCAGGGGAGGGATCACGTGTTCATCTGCCAGGATCCGAACGCGCTCTACAGGGTGGTGGATCGGATCAGCAATGCTGTGCTCCTGATCTCCGACTTCGGGCGGTTGCGTAGTGAGCAGGCATCTCTCGTCAAGGATGTTATCCTGCCCTACGCGCACCGAATCAACTCCTTCCAAGGCGATGTGGGAGTCGAAAGCCGGCCTTCATTGCTATTCTTCATGGGCAACCGGTATCGAAAGGAGGTGAAATTCTTAAATCTTGGGAGAAATGTGATGGCTTGATCAATTAATTTGCATTGTACCTATCATAGAGCATCTGCATTTTCAGAAGGGATATTGTATGCTATAGAGTAGAGAGTGAATTTTTTTGCCATATCCTAGATAACATTAGCATTGAATTTTATTGGTGGTTATATGATTTTCCAGAGCACTCCAAAATCATGTTAACTTTATGTCTTAAGTTGATGGTTCTGTCTGAGAATTTTTAGGCAATCAGAAAAAAAATGAAGCTTAATATGCCATTAGCTCATTATATATTTTTTGTTACCATGTGCCTTTGATTTAGCTTGTTTAGATGAGTTTTCTTACATATATTATAAATAGGAAACTATCACAAATGTATCATGTGCAAACACATTAATTGATATGAGATGATTATTAAAAAAGGTGTGATTGATTTTTCAGTTTTTACATGCCTCCTTCTCTAGCGAACTTTTGGTTCTGGATATATCTGTTGACTGGTCAACAACCTTTCTTTTAGAATTCAAGTCAAATTGCATGATAGCTTCCACATTTTGCAAGCCATATTCACTTAGAAAGTTCTAGCCTTTCATGCACGTTCTTGCTGATTGATTATTTTTGGTGTTCTGTTTTGGAGAGATCAACTCTCAACATGAACTCGTCCATTCCTATATTTTTCTACTTGTCCTCATAATTTTCCTTCTTTCACACATGCAAAACTAAGTTGGAAGGCATGTCTCATACTATTAATGACTGAAGATTTCTGCACATGCCCTGGAGCCTGGGCATATTTATTGATTGGTCAACACATTTCTTTCATAATTCAAATATGATTGTATGATAGGTTTCCACAGCTTTGCAAACCATAATATTTAGAACATTCTAGCCTTTGGTGCACTTTCTTAGCTGGCCCATCCATTAGTTTTTCTTTTAAAAATCAAGTACGATTCCATGATATACTTCTACAGTTTTGCGAGCCATAATCTTTTAGAAAGTTCTAGCCTTCCGTGCACATTCTTGCTGATTGATCCATTAGTCTTCTGTTTTGGAGAGATGAACTCTGCCAACATGAACTCTTTTGTTCCTATTTTTGTATACCTGGTCCTGATAATCATTCGTCTTCTGCACATGTAAAACTTTAATGTTTGAAGGCATGACTCGCAGCATCCCATTGCTAAAGCTTTCTACATGTGTACCTAATTGTATAAACTATTTGTCTCTCTCTGTTCCAATATAGTTGTTTGGAATGAGTGCACTCAATCTTGGTTTGGAACAACAGAGAAGTTAAGAACAGTATCATCTGAAGCAGTAAGCTTTGGAAATGACCAATTATGGAAATGTAAAAATGTTTGATTCATTTGCATAATTGTTCATCTTTGTTTCCTTGTGAGTTTTAAGATTGTTAGGCCCTGTTTAAGATTATACATATGATTCATATTCATCCTTCCCTTTATTTTTGCTGTATTATTTAGAGCACTGCTACATGCACTAAAATTTTCTTACAAAGCTCTTACTAACAAATTTCTCAACCATTTGATTTAACTAGATGGAAGTTACAAAAAATCTAGATTTACTTACAGCTTGCCACATCAGAGTTTGTAAGCATTTTGTAAGAAAATTTTAGTACGTATAGACTTTTCCTATTATTTATGTTATTGCCTACAGAGTTTACTGTCAGTCTGTCATTTTCTTTTCTTCCTTTCACACTTTGTTTATGAAATAACATCTTATACTAAGGTTGTTAACCTTCTGATAATTTAGGGTGGGAAGGTGCGTGATACGCTGTTTCAAGTTCTTGAAAATGAGGCAGATGTAATCATAAAACATGGAGCCCAGTCAAGGGAGAGTAGGCGTATGGCTACACGAGGAATGCACTCATCCAAATTCTGCCTCCATCCTGCTGGAGATACTCCCTCGGCATGCAGATTGTTTGATGCGCTTGTCAGTTTATGTGTTCCTGTTATAGTCAGCGATTACATTGAATTACCATTTGAAGATGTTATAGATTACAGAAACATATCAATATTTGTTGAGACAAGCAAGGCTGTACAGCCTGGATTTTTAACATCAACACTTCGAGGAATCAGTTCACAGAGGATTCTAGAGTACCAGAGAGAAATAAAAAAGGTTAATTTCATCTCTCTCTCATAGTTGATGCTGCCATGTGCATATTACATTCAGAATTAGCTTCGTGGGTTACATTGCCAGGAAAAGAGAGTGAGAAATACATAAATATTTAGTATCTGCACCTTCAGTTAATTTTGTGAGCACATGATTCAGGTTTAACTGCTTGGTACATTTTTCCAGGAAGATAACCATTTTTCTCCTGGCATTTAGTACGAAACATTGGCAATATCTTGAATCACCTAGTTGTTTTCAGTTATTTTGCAATTTTGGCATGTTATACATATGATATTTTGGCACGTTATAGTTTTATAGGCATGTTATACATATGATATTTTGGCACGTTTGTCTTAACTAGTAAAACCTGAAATTTTGTTTCAGGTAAAACATTATTTTGAGTATGAAGATCCAAACGGACCAGTGAATCAGATATGGCACCAAGTTTCTTCAAAGGCACCATTGATCAAGCTGTTGATTAACCGCGATAAACGCCTAGTTGAAAGAGGTACCAATGGAACAGATTGCTCGTGCATCTGTTCGACCACGAAGGAACTTCTACGTAAATAAGATGGTTCTCATCTCCTGGACGAACCCAAGTTTTGTGGACGACCCTTCTGATTGAGTACAGTACCTGAATTTTGGCTGACGCTGAGCTCTGTAACTATGTGCAGCGAGGATCCTAACAATTTGTTTTGATTGCTAAGCGCCCATTTCCTGCTGATTTTTCTTCAATTTTCAGTAGATATTAGAATGTTGTGAACAATATAACACCACTGGTGCCCCTGGCTAAAGCAGAAGTATATCATTGTTTTCTTTTGTACGTGTGACTTATATACATCCTACATTCCTTTTTCTCCCAAGGATGTTACCCTCAAGTTTACATGCCTCTGTGTTACCCAATCGAATTGTGCAAGGTACTTGTATACATAGAAGCAACAGAGACAGAGGGCCTCATGGAGGCTGGAGTGTGACGGAGAGCCACAAAGCCCCATGAGCAGCTGACACTGCTCGGTGTGCTTCGGCGTGCGAGAAGCCGTCGAGCACCGAGAACTACTCCGAATGTGTGAAGAGAAATTATGGAAAAGATTAATATGATTTTTTTTAAAACAACTTTTCTATAGAAACATTTTAGCATCGTTTAGCAGGTTAGGGAGGGTGAACGTGGAAATCGAATACTTTCTCTTCTGTCATTCAAATGAACGCACTCTTAGTTATTCATAAAATATATGAATAAGATAATTTAGTTAACACCATTCAATAATAATTGTCAGACTAAAAACATGTAATAATTACAATTTTACAACTTTTAGCACAGAGAAAATTTAGAAAAAAAGCAAGAGTTCAAATAAAAATACAATTTAAAAGAACTGCAATTTGAAATAAAGAATAAAATAAGAATACATCTAATCCAACATAAGATTAACTAAAATTCAGAATAAAAAATAAAATAAATTCTGAACTTAGTTTTTTCAACATGAATCTATCCAAAAATCAGAATCAAAAGGATCATTAAAACTTGAAACAAAAATATATAATAAAAATAAACTAGTAAAGACAACTTACCAAGAAATACAATTCTATAAATATCCAAAAGTAAGATTAAATACAATTTGGAATAAAAATAAATAAATTCCAAAACTGGATCAGATAAAAAGAAAAATAAGAGTTCAATTAGAAATATAATTTGTATACAAATGCATAAGTTATAGATCATGCATGCTCAAAGTAATTTTAGTGATAAAACAACTTAAAGAAATGATAATTACATAATTTTTTTAATAAGTCGAATGGCAAAACTTATGTCCAAAATTAACAGTGTTATTTATTAAAAAAATGGAGATATTATTTAAGAGTTTTCCCACCTAGAAACTAGCGACAATTTTTTTTAGCAATTTCCTTCGTGTAAACTAGCCACCTCCGTGGTAGAACGGTCACGTACGTAATGAAATGCGTGATGAGCCTTGGCGTGTGGTGTATTGTACCGTGTACATGTCCGTCGCCTCGTTTTTTAAAAGATATATATATATATACGATTTAAATCTTACAATTTTTGGCGTTCCTTCCGGTACGTCCTCCGCGCCTTGTTATTACAGGCTCTGCCTGTACATACGTACGTGTTGGTATGGACATGGCCGCAGCCGCTGCCGTCTGGTTCTCCGCCATAGCCGCCGTCCTTCTGGCGGCCAGCACCATCGCCGTGGTGGTGGTGGCGAAGATGACGGGGAAGAGAAACGGCGGTGCGGCTGCAGCGGCGGCGGCGGCGGCGGAGGCGGAGCTGCCACTCCCGCCGGTGGTGAGCGGCGTTTCCCTGATAATTCCGGTGATCACCAGGGGCCCCATGGCTGTGGCCGACGAGCTGTACGTGAAGCTGGGGAGCGTCTTCACGGTGAGCTTCCTCGGGGTGGTGAAGGCGACCTTCCTCGTCGGGCCGGAGGTGCAGGGCGGCTTCTACTCGCGGCCGGAGTCGGAGGTCCACCAGGGCGGCACGTACAGGATGACGGTGCCCATGTTTGGGAGAGGGGTCATGTACGACGTCGACGTGGCCACGAGGTCGGAGCAGATCGCCGTCTGCTTCGAGGCGCTTAGGCCGACCAAGCTCAGGAGCAGCACGGTGACCATGGTTCGTGAAACCGAGGTGTGTACGTATACAGTACCTCCGTTTTTCATTTGATGATATCGTTAACTTTTAGGTATGTTTGACTATTCGTTTTATTTGAAAAAAATATGTAATTATTATTTATTTTGCTATGAGTTATTTTATCACTAAAAGTATTTTAAGCACTTTTTATGTCATACATTTGCATAAAATTTTAAATAAAACAAATGGTCAAATATGTATCTAAATGTCAATGCGTCATCTATTAAAAATAGAGGGATTATGCTTTGCCGCTCCTCTTCGTATGACTTTTTTGTGACTTTTTGATGCTGGTTATTAGAGGGGTTAGACCAAGGTTTTAAATCTCTGTTTATAACTATCGATATTTCTTCGATGATAACTGTTTGAGTAGGATATAGTTATTTGCTCTTATTTATCTCACCATTAGTCGTTTGAAAGGTCGAGTGCTCAATATCTTAACCCTTTTACCTTTTTTGAAAAACACTAGGCTAGATAGATGCCATATCGGATTGAGGGGTTATTATTGGAGATTTGGAGGGGCATTTTTTTTAGTTATTTTTTTTCTAAATTTTTTGGATGGTGAGGCTATATGAGGTGCTCTTGAAGATGCTCTCCCTTTATGTCCGAGTGATTGAATTGTATAATTTGCAACACACAAGCTTGCTTTTACAGAACTCATGGACTTCTTTACTTATATCGTATAATTCGCAGGAATATTTCGCGAAATGGGGAGAGCAAGGCACGGTGGATCTGAAACGCGAGCTCGACCTCCTCATCCTGACGATCGCGAGCCGCGTCCTCCTCGGCAAGGAGGTTAGGGAGACCATGTTCGCCGACGTCGTGGCATCCTTCCACGAGCTCATGGACAACAGCATGCACCTCATCAGCCTCTGCTTCCCCAACCTCCCGATCCCGCGGCACCGCCGGCGCGACACGGCGTCCGCTAGGCTCAAGGAGCTCTTCTCCCGTGCCATCCAGCTTCGCCGCGGCTCCGGCCGCGCCGAGGACGACGTGCTCCAGCGGTTCTTGGAGTCCAGGTACAGGGACGGCCGCGCCATGTCCGACAACGAGATCACCGGCATGCTCATCGCCCTGGTCGTCGCCGGCCAGCACATGAGCTCCAGCGCGAGCACCTGGACCGGGGCGTTCCTCCTCCGCGACCCCAAGCACCTGGCCGCCGCCGTCGACGAGCAGCGGCGGCTCATCGGTGACGACCGCGTCGACTACGACGCGCTGACGACGGGGATGAGCACGCTCCACCGCTGCATCAAGGAGGCGCTCCGGATGCACCCGCCGGCGCCGGCGCTCGTCCGCACCGTGCGCAGGGGCTTCGCCGTGTGGACCAGGGAAGGGAAGGAGTACAGGATGCCGGCAGGGCACAGCGTCGTGTCGTATGCCGCGTTCAACCACCGCCTCGGCTACGTGTACCGCGACCCCGACGAGTACGACCCGGAGCGGTTCGGCCCGGAGAGGAAGGAGGACAGGGTCGCCGGCAAGTTCTCCTTCACGGCGTTCGGGGGCGGGAGGCACGCGTGCCTCGGCGAGCACTACGCGTTCCTGAAGATGAAGGTAATATGGAGCTATTTGCTGAGGAATTTTGAGCTTGAGCTGGTCTCGCCTTTCCCCGAGGTTGAACTCAACAACATAATGCTAGGGCCGCGAGGGGAAGTGATGGTTAGATACAAGAGACGGAAGCTGACAAGCACCTAGTGCATTAAGTCGTAATTACAGTCAAAATTATTTGAGAGCAGACGTACTCTTTACTACTACCTCCGTCTCAAATAAGTGCAGCCATGGTATTCGTATTTAATATTTGATCGTTCGTTTTATCTAAATAAATAAATAAATAAATATAAAAAAATAGTCACGCATAAAATACAATTCATGTTTTATCATCTAAGAGTAACAACAATAAAAATACTAATCATAAATATTTTAAAAATAAGACGAATAGTCAAACGTTGAATATGAACAACATAAAACTACATTTATTTTGAACAACATAAAACTATATTTATTTTGGAACGGAGTGAGTACTTTCAGTCATAAATACTGTAACTGAGAGTCTCTTCCATGATGGAACGTGTTTTGCAGTGTGTTTTGCGTGCATATGTAGTGTGATGTATAAGTAAATCTTTGAGATAGCAAATAAAAGAACAAGCAAGTTCTCACGACGAATTTAGTCAGAACTTCAGAGATGGACAGTGCTGCACCTCAATCAGCAAAATTGGGATATATGCACCTCGGTGGAGGAGTGGTGGTACCTATACTCTCGCACAAACTGCCAAACCAAACAAAGGCCCTAGAATCCTTGATAATCCTCATCTCTTGGGAGCTTTGGTGCGAGCGCAATGTAAGAATCAGTAGTAGGCCCCAGCAGCAGTGACTGCAAAGATAAAATAAGAAATAACCGCTTGGGTCCATGTAGGGGTGTCTAGTCTGCAAGTGTTTACCGTTCTAGGAGAAGTCCCATAATATGCTCTCTTTTACGGTCTTCGTGTTGCAAAGGTCCTATACATATTTATTTTTCATATATCTTCTGCTCTATTAATATATAAGAGCCAAAATTTTTGCTCTCTTTTTTTTTTTAAAGGAACAAGCGAGAAAACATCGTTACTGTAGTTGCACAGCGCGTGCGATTTCTCCACAGGAAGGTGACCTTCTTGGTTGGACCTGAAGAATCGAGCCATTTCTTCACAGGGTTGGATTCAGAGATCAGCCAGGACGAGGTTTCCCGGTTCATCATTCCAACCTTTGGCTCATGAGTGGCCTTCGATGCGAGCAGGACCAGCCCTAGGGGGGTCAGGCCGTGCGGCCGCCCGAGGCCCCTAAAATCTAGGGCCCCTATACACATATAGTATATATATACTATGTATTGTATAATTTTAATTCATAGACCATAGGCTTATATTAAGTTAGACAGCTGAATAACCCAATTCAGAAAATGAATTTTAGTCTATCGCCAGGCATGTTTCAGCGAAGCCGAAGCGATATTCATCTGACTCCCGTCGCTTCGCCTCGATCACATCACGCCAGTCGCGTCGCGCCGCCTTGATCACATCACGCTACTCGCTGCTATTGCGCTCGCGGCAACTTCTCGGTCGCGTAAATGGAAACGGCAAGTGGACACAGCAAATCGTAGCTCGCCAGTAGCCACACTCATGTCAATAAGGACCTCCATATAAGTTTTTGCCCTGGGCCCCAAAACCCCAGGACCAGCCCTGGATGCGGGTTATGCCACGCAGTAAGAGCAGTTCCGGTTCTTTGGTGATACAATGAAGCCGACCAAGCTGAGGAGTTATGTAAGTCACATGGTTTACGAAGTGGAGGTATGCAAAAAAAAAAAAATCCTACTCCGTTTATCTTAAAACGCAGCAAGTTTTAGTCTTTGACACAGGTATTAAGGAGAGGGTCGAGTAAAAAACATGGTTACCTTCTCGGGGTAGGTAATTAGTTGTGGATATAATAAAGCCAAGGAATAGTAACAGTAGATAAAAAGAGTTACATATTATGATAGTTTGTGAAATAATAAATCTAGTAACATCAATTTTACATGATTGATCTTTTTAATTTTTTTTGCTATTAATAGTTAAATTTGAAAATAGTTGACTTAGCATTATTCAAAGATACTTTTATTTTAGGACGAAGGACGAAGGGTTTACGTCGTTTCTAAAGTTGTGAGGAGTACCTTTTTATAGTTAGTGGAAAGTCATATGGCTCAATTATCAATCTTGTTTTTTTTTTTGAAGAAGGAAAATCGGGCCCGAAAGCCATACAGCTGCATGGTTAATTGCAGGAAAACCGGTTAAAACCCACCGCTACATAACTAATAACGACGGCGGAGCCCAATTGCAGGTTGTCGCCACCAAACTAAACACAAAAGCAACACAACAGCCCCCACATCGCAGAAGATGTGTTATCGTTGCCGAGTTAGCCGCCCAAGCGACCTAGCAGCACCGACTCCACAACCGCAGCGATACTGAAGCCACGAAAGTCGCCACAGCGAAAAGTAGCTCCGACATCCAATAATGGACATCAGCCAAGCTACCGAGGAGCAACTTCCTTCACACGGCCAACACCAGAACTCCTTGGAAGAGACTGCAACATGTCATCGTTGCCGAGCGTTGCCGCACCCCATCAGCGAGTAGCTTCGACTTCATCAGTAGAAACAACCGAAGAGCATGTCGCCCACCACAAGAAAGAAGCGGACCCAAGAAGACGAAGGCCTCGCCGAACACTAAGGTATGAAAGCTTTTGAACCGAAAAAGACCATCGACAGTCGTCGATGCGTTGGAGCTTCGGACAATGCGTGCGACGCCCCCAAGGAGAACATGACGATCAATCTTGCTTGATCTTATATAACTTATCATAAGTGTTTAAATAGGCTCTAGAAAATTTATGAATCCTGCGAAACAAATGCAACGTCTATATTCAGGGGCGGATGCAGGCCTATGACAGTTATGATTTGAGCCCTAGACTTGTCTCCAAAAGTAAGCTTATATTTCTCAAATCAGCATGTAAATTTTAAAAGAGAATCTTAACAGTCCATTGGTTAGACCAGAGCTTAGTCCCAAGTCTTTAGTAGTTTCTAGCTCCGTCACTATGTGCAGGAGTATTTTGAGAGATGGGAGCAATCGGGGGTGGTTGATCTGAAGCACGATTGCTCCCATCTTCCAAAATACTCCTGCACATAGCAGTGATGATAGTCGTAACGCTCATCGCCACTAGGTGCCTGTTCGGCGAGGTCCGGTCGAAGATGCTCGGCGAGGTCCCGACGCTCCTCCGCGAGCTCAATGACAGCATGCGTCTCATCACCATCGTGTTCCCGTACCTCCCGATCCCGGCGCACCGCCGGCGAGACAGTGCGCGCGCCAGGCTCGGCGAGATCTTCGTCGAGATCGTGAGGTCCCGCAGGAGCAGCCCCGGCGGTGGCGGAGCCGGCCACGACGACATGCTGCAGTGCCTCATCGACGCCAGGTACAAGGACGGCCGCGCCACGACGGAGGGCAGGCGGAGGTCGCCGGGATGCTCGTATCGGCGCTCTTCGCGGGGCAGTACACGAGCTCCAGCACCAGCACGTGGACCGGCGCGCGCGCCTCCTCACCCACCCCGAGCACCTCCGCGCCGCCGTGCGGGAGCAGGAGGAGCTCGTACTCGTGCGGCACCGGCACGGCGGCGACGTCGTCGACCACGATGCCCTGCAGCGGATGGGCCACCTCCACCGCTGCGTCAAGGAGACCCTGCGTCTCCACCCGCCGTCGCTGATGCTGCTCCGCCACGCGCGCCGGAGCTTCGTCGTGAGGGCCAGGGGGAGCGGCGATGCCGAGTACGAGGTCCCAGCAGGGCACACGGTGGCGAGCCCGATGGTGATCCACAACGCGCTGCCACACGTGTATGAGGACGCCGGGTCGTTCGACCCGGGCAGGTTCGGCCCCGCGAGGGAAGAGTACAGGGCGTACGCCGCCGACCACGCGTACACGGTATTTGGCGGCGGCCGGCACGCCTGCGTCGGCGAGGCGTTATCAAGGTGATCTGGAGCCATCTGCTGAGGAACTTCGAGTTGGAGCTCATGTTGCCGTTCCCGGAGACGGACTGGAACGACGTCATGCCAGGGCCCAAGGGAAAGGTGATGGTACTCCCTCCGTCACATAATAAGATAATAAGCGTAATCGTGGGTTTTAGTGTCCAACTTTGATCATTCGTCTTATTTAAAATATTTTTATAATTAACATTTTTATTGTTATTAGATGATTAAATATGAATAGTACTTTGTGCGTGACTTAACTTTTAAAATTTTTATAAATTTTTCAAATAAGACGGATGGTCAAACGTTAGGCACGGAAACTTATAGCTGCACTTATAATGGGACGGACGGAGAGTAAGCTACAAGAGAAGGAAGTTGCAGACAAAAGAACGAACATTTCATAGAAGCTACTACACCTTATCATTCAAAACATTTGATATAATTGCCTGTGCTTGCCTAAGTGTTCAAATCGTTGGGATATATAGTTAACCCTTCCCTTAGGATGTCCCGAACAAACAAATGCTCGTTCGGTAATGAATATGCCGAGTTAGAGAGTACGATAACTACAAATGGCACACAGGTGGAATCAACTGGTTAAACATCTCAATTTCCAAATGCCTCTAGTTCTTGAGTTGAGTGTTTCCAGTAAGCAAATCTGCTGTCAAAAAGTGACAATGGGTAGTCAGGTCAACACAATTGTACATGCCTGTAGCACCAACACTGCAGCCCTGTTGAAAAGAATATATATCTACAATGCCACCATTTTATCCCCCCAACTAATTTTTGGGCAAAATTCAACAATATACTACTAGCCATATTGTCGCCCATTAAACTCATGAATTTCTTCTGTATATGTATTCTAACCCAAAATGAAGCTCTTCGTCAGAACTTCAACCCGCTACAAACTATAAAACATCAAGGCAATGAAGACAGTAACGGTTAAGGATTCTCTCAACAAGAGAGTTGGGTTCAGGAACCAGCGAAGAAGTAATGCTGTTCCAGAGGTGGAAAGTAGTAGAGTCATTTACAATCCTAGAAAACAGAGCATCATGTTGGGCTCTTTCATCCGTGCTATCTGCTTCTGAGAAGTACCTGCAGTACATGGATATCATAATGAGAGTGCATATTGCAAATTTGTAGCCACACATCTAAAGAGTCAACAATTACTTGAACAACAAAAATATGTGAAAGGTTGACTTTTAAGTTACTTGAACAACAAATATATGTAATAGGTTGAGTTTTAAGAGGGCTGGGGTGCATCTGGTTTATCTCTAGTACTGTAAAAGCGGTGTAGTTGTCCTCCCCAACAATCGCACCTCCCCCACATAAAAAAAACCACCCCACCCAAAAAACTAGTGTTCCCATGCGAAAATTGACCCATCAGAAAAACCGGATACAAAAAACCGAACCCGGTAAAACCATTCAGCCATCTTCCTGAGTTCCTTCAGATCAATGGCATGACACTAATAGGTTGAACTTGGCTAGTGAATAGAGTTCAGTTTTTCTTTTAAAAATGCTCATGCGCTACGTCAACAATGTCGCAAAAGGAGCAGAGCATCCAGTGCAGCCACTACGGCTTGATGTGGGAAGGGAGAGCTTGACCCACCAACACAAGCTTCAAGGCTGCCTGTGTTGACCTATGTACACAGGAAATCAAGTTGCAGTTCATTAAATTGAATTGACAATTTGAACATTCTATGACTATTACAGTTTAATTTTGGTTAGTTCAAATCAATGGTTACATTCAACTCAGTTCAAGGACTGTTGTAATGCAGGTGAACGATCATAGCTCTAGGTAACACTAACTGGCAACCAGAACAAGTGTCAAAGCAAAACTTCCCTGGAATTGAGAGGCACTATAATCTGGTGAGAGGTGGCTGTAATAGAGGTGTTTGATGGCCACCTCATAGAGTTTGGAAATGGTTGAAGGGGGAAAAACAGCATGTTACAGGCAAGAGCTAATAGCAATGACAAGAGGATTAGAAACAGGTCCAGGTTTGGTTTGTGCATCTCTCAGTAAAACTAGTTAACATGTGATAGCATGGTGACAAAGTGCAAGGGGCTTGCACTGAATATCACTGCAACAATGACAAGCTCGTGAGCCTTGACCTCCCCTCTCTGTGTCTGCCTCATAGTGATTTTCTTTTAGTTATCTTAAAATGAAACATTGCAGTCGGAAGAGTTCACCTTGCGGCTTGGGAAGTTGAGATGGAACTTTGATGTACCAACAAACAATCTTAAAATTTAATACTGAATATCAATTTCAAATAGTTAAATTGAAGCAAACAAATTCAGCATACCTTGTAATATCTGTTGAGCTTATGGGATAAAATGCAACAGAAGGTTCAAACTTTATGTCAAGATGCCCACTGTTGTCATCTGCTTTGTCGGACATATTTCTGATTACTCTTGTCATAAGTTCAGCACCATTCCACTGCAAGAGTTCATCATCATATGTTGAATGAAATTCCTTCAGGCACTCCGCTAAGAAAGGGCTGCAATTAACATAAGTTAGGTGAAAAATACATGATTGCTATGATTAGTTATGCATAAGCATATATATACGCCTGCAAAGTTATAATCAACAAAAAGAAACCAAGATGAGATATAAACCTTGTGTACTTGAGACCTAGTTATTTATACCCATTATATTTTGTGATACTTCTAGAATACTGTTCATGATCCATATACTAATTCATAGTACAACTGTAACAAAAGAAACAAACCAAAATAATAGCAGCAACATGTTTTTTTCCCTTTTTTTTCCTAAAATTAAATAAAACACTAAAAGATAGTAATGGACTTTATCTGTCTGTTGGCTTAGGTATTACTCCCTCCATTCCAAAATATAGCAACCTTGTACTGGATGGGACACATTCTAGTACAACGAATCTGGACAGGGGTATATCCAGATTCGTTGTACTAGGAAGTGTCTCATCCAGTACAAGGTTGCTATATTTTGGGACGGAGGGAGTAGATAACAGTACAGTAGTACTGACTTGTGCTTTCGACTAAATTGCATTAATTTATTAAAGCATACTAAAAGACTTATTACTTCCATAACAGTAACACCCGGCTAATACATCACAGACCTCTCATTTAATTTGATGACATTTGAACAACGTTTCCGACATTGCTCTTGATCAATTGGCTTACTAAGCCAGCCCTTGAAGGGTAACTGGCTAAATCACATCCAATTTGCAATGCAGAAAAGCACCACATATCATTTTAACCAAGATGACCAGAATTAAAGCAAAAAAAAACAGTTACAATGAAAGAAAAGTATATAATACTATTACCTGTTTTTTTCAAATGCTAATACAGCACCACTAAAACTGGAATTTTCAGAAACTTGTTTGACAACACCAATAGAATTCCGGAGTGCGTTTAAAGGTTTAAGAACAACAACATCAGAGTCAAGGTATATCCCACCGTATCTGCAGATAGGGCACAGAGGCAGCAGTCAATAATAGTCCTATTCAAAAAAGAAAAGGAACTAAACATGTATTCATGACTATGTTTAGTTCAGACGAAATAGCAATATAACTAATTAAAATTGAAGTATACTGTCTTTCAAACTATTGGTCCAGTAATAATAAAGTATGACGAAAGTAAAATTCTATGAAGTCTCATAATATTTGCTGGTCAACTTTTTTTCCTTTGTTTACAGGAAGAATGCTACTGGCATTTAAACCTCGCACAGTTTGTAGCACTCATCTTTTTTTCATACGTGAATGTGAAGATTCCCCCCTTTTGATGTTATGTCAACTACTCAACTGTTTTCATGGCAGCATTCAAACAAAATACTGATTTAGCTCAGCAGAACTGAGAATCCATACACAGAGCTCAAGTCAGCTCCAGAGAAATTCTAAAGTGGTCCACTAAAGGAAAGAACATTTTACACCTCTTAATAAGATGTTTATGCTCTGTTTAGCTGAATGTTTATTTGTGAAGGAAGTATTTCAATTCAGTATGAATGTAAATTTGGCTTTGGCTGTTTGTAAGCAATTGAATATATTAATCTGTTGGTGACTGTATTTGCATTTTGATGTTCGCTCATGCTAGTTACACTTTTAGAGGCATATGAATTTATATATATATTACAAATCAGTGTATTAAATTCAGCAGAAAGCTGCTCATCTTCTTTCAGTGGTATTGTCGGTCAGTTCCTTTGTAAGAGATATTATTCTTTCACCAAGAGTAAATTACTTGTGGATTCGTCTACATGGATATATTACTACATTAGATTTTATTTTCAAGAAGGTATATTGACATCTCCCTATATTCTTCTAACAGATTGTAAAGAGTGAAGTTAAGCTTGCATGTAACTAAACAAGTCTGGTCCTTTCTTGTCTTACTTGTAAAGAGCAGCAAGGCGTACTAGCTCACTGTAATGCAAGGGGTAGTATTTTGTTTTCCGCCATTCATTCCACACTGATACAAAATCATGGGTTAGAGTGCCCTCCAAAAGTTCATCAAGATTCGGCAACGCAACTGCAACTTTGTATCTGTAAGAGGAAACCAGTCACATGCAAGTGGCATTAGTTATCACACAAAATAAATAGAAGCTGCTTCTGGAATGTAAATGTGAAGTTCAAATATAACATTAAATGAATAGTTACTGTGGAGAAATATCTTAATTTTATTATTTAATATAAGAAATCAACTGACAACAGATGATTTGACTCCAGTACCTAGCAGTTAGTAGCAACGGTAATATATAGATAAGTTGCTTTCCCACTCCACAAATAACAAAAGGAAATGTTAAAATAAATGTATCTTCAAATTACAAAAGTAACAGGGTTATAAAAAAAACTTGAGCACAGCAGGAGCAAGGTAGTAATCATGGTGTGTGTAGCTGTTGAGCATTCAATATGTCAGACTGTTAGTTACTGAACTGTTTATGACCTAATGACACAGGACAGAAGGTAATGGAGGAGAAAAAACAATGGGGTGAGGTAGGTCATGGGTGGCTATTTGGGGAAGGGGTTAAATGGGTTACTCTGGCTCAAAGCATGCATGGATGCACATATAAAGAGGAGTGTGTGTTTTGACACAATAATCATCCTGTTTCTTTCGTTGGTTTTCAGCCAGTAATCTGTCTGTAAGCTCTAAAGTAGCTGGCGTTGTGTCTTTACATTCTGAACTCTCTGCTAGGTCACTACAACAGATGGGATGGCATCTTTTAGGTGATAGCTTAGCTGCTCTTTTTATGTTGCTTTCCTTTCAGTTGTAAAGAGCTACTATCTGCCATTTCTTTACTGGAAATGGGAAGGACTTGGATCCTTCTAGCTGAAAAGAAAAGATATAGAGGAGCACAGTTTGGTTATCAGAACTATAGACTTTCCAAGCAAAGTGGCAGAAAATGAACCAAATCCATCACAAAACAGAAAAAACTATAGAATTGAGTTTTAAGTGCCACTAACAATACAATGAGTTCCAGAGAGAGAGAGCTCAAATAACAGTACAATATAGCCACCAACGGACACTGGCCATTGAGAGAGAGAGAGTTCTGGTAGTGAAAACTATAAGCTGATTCAAAATAACATATTAACATGTCGACAACACCTTAGCTGTCTGTAGCAGAATTTCAAACACTGAAATGGCTAGGAATTACCTAGGTTCTACTTCTATGAGCATCATTTGTATTTTGTAAGATTTAAAAATTGTTAAATTAAGTCAAACTGGAATATATACCAGGCCCCTCTACTTGATCAGATTTCACTCCATGTGTCAATAAGACAAGACTCCAGAAACATTTTTGCTAGTTTCATTACTAATGAGTCCAATATTAGTAGTATGTGATACATCAAACACTAAATAGTAATCCTGGATTCTATATGATACCAATCAAATCATTTCAGGTTTTGGGTCAGAAGCATAAACTCATTTCTTTGTTAATTAGTGTTAGATAGTAAAATTAGCACCTATGATTAATCAAATGCTACCCTTAACAAGAGTCACAGAATGAGAACTACAGGAACATACCCTTCCTTCACAAATTCCTGGAAGAACTCCAGCTCCAGTGTCTCCGACAGCATGACGACACAAGCTTCAGGGTGTTGCCGCAGTAGGCTCTCCAGCCCACGCTGGTGCCGTACGCCATACGCCCACTGTGGGCTGTTCCACACCATGAACACCTTCACGGAGCACTTCCCATGCTCAAAAAACTTCTCCATGAACTCATTGAAGCCCAAATGTGGATCAATTCCCGGGTAATATCCCCACCTCCTCTGCTGCACCTTCTCGGTTACTCCCATTCCCTGCTTAATATCAGACGATTGCAGACTCCGCCGCTCAAAATTTTTGGAAGCAGCCTTCTCTATCTCGGCGAGAAGCATCCGGTGCACCATGCGGTCGCCACGGGTGAGAGAGGTAAGGCCGGGGCTGTCCGGGTCCTGAAGCAGCGGGTGGTTGCGGGGATTGAGAAATTCTAGGTTGGACCGCAGCATCCGATCGCGCCGGAGGTAGTCAGCCTTCCCCTCCAGCCACCGCGCCCACCCAGCACGGAGGGGAGTCTCGGGGGCGCTGGAGGCAGGCTTCAGGAGCAACGCGTCCTCGACGCCGGCGATGGACGAGATCTCCACCCGGAGCTCCAGATCCACCGGCTCGTCGTCGGATCCGAAGGCGGCGGCGGCGATCCGGTGCGCGGGCTCGAGGTGAGGTAACCCCGCCGGGAGGGGGTCGCCGGCGGCGGGGAGGCGGAAGGGCAGGCGGGCGACGCCAACGGCGTGGTCCCAGACGAGGGACGACGCGGACGCGGAGGCGGGGACCTCGTCGGCCGCGCCTAGGCCGGACGCGGTGTCCTCGTCGAGCACGTCGAGCTCGTCGATGGGATCGTCCTCAGGGTTGGAGACGGAGGAGGCATCGGTGGTGGAATCAGCGGCGGCGTTGGTGGTGGTGGTGGTGGTGGTGGTGGTCGCCGTAATCGTAACCGTGGGGTCGAGCACCGCGGCGCCGTCGTCCTCGTCCTCCACGAGCGAGGAGTTGGAGACCCCGTCGCCGGAGGAGGAGAGGGGGAACGGGGAGGAGGAGGAGGAGGAGAGGCGGGAGTGGAGGACGGCGAGGGAGACGAGCAGGAGGAGCGCCGCCACCACGGCGCAGAGCTGCGCGCCCAGGCCGGAGCGCCGCCGCGCGGCCGGGTGCGAGTGGGAGCGCGGCAGCATCGCTGCGCGGCGCGGGCGCGGGCGCGCGCGTCCGTGCGATGCGACGCCGCTTTCCTCCTCCTTCCTTCGCCCTTTCCCCCCTCACCTCACACACCCACACACAACTAGGCCGCGCGTTTCACAAAAGCTTTCGTGTTTTCTTCGTGTTTAAACCACAACCCATGCTGCGGTCGCCGTCGCGCTCGGCCTCACCAACCCTACCAACCGCCGTCAGAGAGCTGACTTGCCACCTATGTACAACACTTGACATGACATTTTTTGTATGAATTTCACATGTTTTTTGAAACTAATGCTGTGTTTAGTTCGTGTGCTAAATTTTTTTTAAGTATACAGACACATATTTCAAGTATTAAACGTAGACTAATAACAAAACAAATTAACAAAACAAATTACAGATTCCGCATGTAAACTGCGAGACGAATCTATTAAATTTAATTAATCCATCATTAGTAAATATTTACTATAGCATCACATTGTCAAATCATGGCGTAATTAGGCTCAAAAGATTCATCTCGTAATTTACAGTCGGATTGTGCAATTGGGTTTTTTTCGTCCACATTTGATGCTCCATAAATGTGTCCAAACATTTGATGTGACGAAAAAGTTGGAAGTTTGAAAAAAAAGTTGAAATCTAAACACGGCCTAAGCTACTTTTTATTTGTATGGATTTCGTTGGGATTTTACAGATGCAAACAGCACACCTGACTCCAAACTATACACTGGTTCACTGAACAATGTTTGCCACTTGTCTCTGTTGTGTCGGTGAACTAATCTCCATCGCCGTCGATCTTAGGCCAGCCATTTTCAGCCTGCGACTTGACAAACGCGGCCAGTAGCTTGATATCATCTTCGACCAGCCGAGGTCCGAAAGTGCACTGCCCTCTCGGGGTGCATTTTTCTCCGAAGCCCTTAACGCAGCAAACATACAATCAAGAAATTAATGAGTATCTATCTATACTACTCAAACATCATCATGATAGCAGCTAAGAATTACTCACCGGCATTCTTCCCTTCCCGTAGTACGTTATATTGTATAGCTCGTCCTCCGTGGCAACTCCATTTCTGCAGCAAATTTGCCCTTAATTTTGCCTTGATCCAATCCAACAATGGGCAGTAAATTTCGAGCAGTTAAAAGTTTTCAAGAGCACACATACCTCTCAAGATCCTTCATGTACAGAGTGGCGCCCTGTACATGACAAATCAGCAAGCTAATAAAAAGGTTGAAAATTTGTGTCCGGCCATCGAGTAATGGTTTCAGAAGCTTACCGGCTGTAGGATATTTCCTCCCATATCATGGCAGCCGATGCACGCCTTCCGGAACAGCGCTGCGCCTTCGGATTGAGCAAAAGCTACAACAACAAAAGGGGGGGAAAGAATGTGATGTGCGACGCGTACATTTCAGCAAATATGGTAAATTGGCAATTAATCATGCTCGGTGTACTTGTGTAGAATCATTCAGAGTTACTTCTGTTATGTTCCTCTACTGCTTCCCCACTAAAAAACTTCAAGAGGAACTAGATTCTAGTACTACGCATCCTGACGTTTGAGATAGAGGATTAACCTGATGGTGTGGAAGCTAGGAAGCCAGGAGATGCGGCAGAAAGGAGGAGCGCCGCCGCGGCCAACAGCGGCGTGGCCGCGCGCTCTGCTGCCGCAGACGCAGCGACGGCGAGAGAGGCAAATGACGGCGTCGCCTCCTGCTTCAGGCGGCCGCAGCACGCCGTCGTCGTCCTCTGGGGAGCGCGATGAGCGGCGGCCGCCGCGCGATGCGGACCCGGTGGCCGTGAGGCCAGAGGAAGCCGGTGCATGGAGCTGCTGCTTCTTCCTCCCCCGTCGGCCGTCGCACCGGGGACAAGGCTAATCTTGGAGGACAGTGTTGAGCCTGACGTGGTTCAGATAGCAGCCACGTAATGTCCAAAAGGATTAGACGGGTCAGGCTTAGTAAGATCAGAACATAATGTATGGTTAAGACGTATTTTTGAACGAATCAGCACGTATTTTTTGAACAAATTGGCACTAGACGGTGCCCATTTCTTTGAATATAGTGTAAAAAGTTTAATGTATTGTTTAGACATTTTATAGCGTGGCAGATGCAGTGATGCTGGCCTGTGCACCACTGAAGCTTGATGCCTATAGACACAATGGAACAGCTCACCAACGCCGGGTTCAGTAAAATCAGAACATTTGGTAGGAAGTATAGGAAACAAATTATTAAACTCTATTTGGATCAAGATGTAAGGTTTGAACGGCAGTTGTCGGTTGTCACAGCAGCAGACGCAATTTTCCCCTGATGCAGGGGTTGTATAACTTAGCAGGCACGCTGAATTTTGGACTTTCTATGGTCCGAATATCGACGGCACGGAGAATTAATTCCTTTTCCCCATGATTCGTGAGCAAATTGGAATCCTGCATACAAATTCTTACTGCCACCATGTATTGACATTTGGATGAAGGCTGGACGATAAACACCAAAAAAGAAAAAACACTACCAAATTAAATGAAAAATATGCAAAAATCAGATGGGATATTATATATTTGTCATAATTCAGAATCGAAGATCTTTTTGACGGAAAGAATCGAAGATCTCAAAGACTCAAATCTTACTCCCCCCCCCCCCCCCCCAAAAAAAAAAAAAAAATTCCAAACCTTGAAATAACATCCATATGAGGATTTTTGATTTATTAATAGCAGAAAACATAATAGCCTTTTACAACAGAAGAAATTGGTCAAGTATTCCACATAGAAATTAAATCTGGCTAAAAAATCTCAACTTATGTCAGTTATGTGTAAGGCATAAAGCCATGCTAATATCCATTATTTTGCTAATTTGCATGTTTCTTGAGGGTACTTGCTTCGAACTTCTACATCTGCTAATCTGGAGTTCACAGTGATTTTGACTTCTGAGCCTCAATATATTACTAAAATGATGCATCTAATATAACTTATATAGCAGACATCCCAACCACAATGCAAGGTAGAGATGTAGGAACTGGAATTAATCCTGAACTCATTGGTTTCTTATTTCAGGAAATGCTTATGATAGAAGTTCATTGATATATGAGTAGCTGAAAACAGCAACATGTCATCCTTTAAAGTTTCGAAGGCAACCTCTAACCTCTGCCTCATTTGAGCATCACTGCTATGAACTTCAGATAATCCTGAATGCAAGTGTCATATAAACAAGGTAACAGATGATGGTCACCTATGTTTGCAATCGGTTTGTGCTGTGTAAGCATATAAATTAGTTGTGCACAATATCAAAGGACCCATCTAAATGAGAGATCATTGAGAGACCGTAACATGTACTTGGCAAAAACATGACTTGGGAGAATGAGACTCGTTTTATTATTCGCTCTAGACTTCAGAACACAAGGGGTTTTTAAAAAAGGAAAAAAATCACACCAGATGTTGGACCAAAATGATTCGCCGCAATCATCTCTTTTAATTTTTGAACCTGGCATCAATTTTTTTAAGAATAGAAAATTCTCTTTTTGAATTTTAATGGACGATTTCACAGCTCAAGTTTCAAAACATATATAAGAGCAGTGACTTCCTTACTGTCTTCAGGAGTTAGGTAAAACTTTAAAAGAAACAGTCATTTGTTTGAACTAACAAAGAAATATCCACATCATAACTTAGTGGTCATAACTGGTGTTGCATGATGAACATGCAGATAACTACACAAGATTTCATAACAATGAAGTTGAGTAGACGATGAGCAATGCATTCAAGACTCAGAAAATTTAATGTGTTTTTAGCATTACTTAGAGAAAAGAAGTTCCGAAGTAGCTATAATTGCTGAGTAGATACTGCTGCCATTTTTCGTTGGTTTAGTTTTGCATAGAGACCGCTTTTGGAATAAAGAAGAAAAGAAGAACAAGTAGGTAAGTGGGGAATGTGAAGTAGCTCATGCCAACCTATCCAAGGACATGACAGTCAGCAGTTGATGAACGCAACAATTAAACATGTATATTGATGGTATAGTGGTATCTGGAACCCAACAAATACATACAATCTTAATGTTATTCTCGTTGCTCCTTCAGCTTTGTGCTCTATCTCTATACCATAAAAACACTAATCCCTAGTACACTACGCAGCAAGGGGTGTTCCAGAACCAAATCACATCTCCCAAAATCAATAAATCCATAGAAAATTGCAGAACAAAGTGTCTTGTTCACTATACCAGCGTAGGCTCCATTGCCCTCAGGGCTCCTGATGCGACTCGAGGCAGAGGGAGAGGCCGATGCGCGCGCGCTGGCACTGGGACCGCTTGAGCGCGGTGCCGGCGCTCCCGCAGAGGGTGCGGACGGCCTCCGTCTCCCCGGGGCAGCACGAGGTCACCAGGCACTCGGCCAGCGCCCGGTTGAGGTGCCGGCACAGCACCTCCGGCCTCAGCGGGCCGCGCGCCGCGCTGCGGTGGCACTCGGCGAGCGCCCGCTGCGTCGCGGCGCAGGGCCCCGGGACGTGCACGGCCGCCGCCGATTCGGGCTCTGACCCCTGCCGCCCGCCGCTGCCGCCGCCGCCTCTCCTGCTCATCGGGAACCGCCCGGTCGCGGTGGGGACTGGGGAATCTGCTCGGCGATTCCGTCCCCCCGCGATCTCGTACTCTCTGGACTCTCCTCCCCAACGAACACCATGAGATTGATGCAAGGAGAGTTTCTTCTAGTTGGTCCGATTAACTTATGGGCCGTGCTCGCACTACGAGTCCGCGGGTTCTCAAACAAAAGCTTATTGGGCCTCCAATTTCATCTGTTGACAGTGTGCTGAGATGAAAAAAGTCCATTTGCCTCTCTCCACTACGCACGTCTAATTAGTACTTTAGTAGTCCCTCCGTTCCATAATATAAAAGATTATGCCCTCTAAATTTATCCTAAAATATAATTGTCAGGTTACGGATAAGATATACCCTCTACCCTTGGATGTACGCTATACGGCAATACGGTACATCGGCGCGTGTACGGACATTCTCTGTATACGTTAAGGAAATTCGTCTCGAAGTCCACCAATGGAAAGGTTCCTACCCGTATAGGACTGGGTCGTCACTATATCGTGCAGGGTCCGATGTCTCCGAGTCCTACTTGTAGACCACCTGACCTGTGATATAAAAGGGACCCCCCGGGAAGACCTAAAGGATGGAATCTCATAGCCAACACAACGACCACAGCCTACGAAGCCGAAGCCTACAGGAGCCAAGTCGCCGGATGATCTAGTCGAATCAACTCGACTACGATCTCGTCGGTATCGTCGAGTTCTGTTATTCCCTTTGTAATTTGTGGTCATCCCCATATAATCCCATATCAACTGGATTAGGGCTATTACTTATTAAGGGGCCTGAACCAGTATAATCTTTGTCTCTTGTTTTCTTGATGTCGTATTACGTAGATCCTCGTACCAGCGTACCCCAATACCCTCTATATCCGGTCTACGAGTACCCACCGTCGACAATAATGGATTTTATAATTTTGAGGTAGTACTTTATTTCCCAACCACGTTCTTTTATAGTACCCCTTTACTTGATATTATAAGTCATTTTAATTTTTTTTCCTATTCAATTTTTTTAGGTTTGACCAGATTTATAGAAAATTTAGTAACATATATAACACCAAATTAGTCTCATTTTAATATAAATTAAATATGTTTGATTTTTGTGAGAAATATTGTTATATGTTTTTATAAATCTAGTCAAAATTAAAAAGAGTTTAACTATAAAATGTTTAAAATGACTTATATAATATGAAATAGATGGAGTACTAGTTTAATCCCTAACAACTGGCATCTTTTCCCCACCTACTAGTTTAGTTTTACTATTTTATTCTCGTAACCATCACTTATTGATTTTGTACTATGCATTGTCCTTTTGCCACTTCCTATATTATGGGAGGAAGGGAGTATCCCTTGGCCACAAAACCAGACATGAAGATTCCCCAACTGGTTCATTTGTCTCTCTGAGCAATTTAAATGGTCGTTTCATCCTGCAGGGCACGTTGACACAGTTTTCTCAATGTACCACCTCGGGTGGCATCACAATCAGAAAAAGAATAAAAAACAATAGGATCTAGTCATCGTCTTCCTCTACCTCTCCATTCATTCCATATCTCTTCCACTCTCCGCAGCCTTCCTCCTTCCTCCCTCTCCCATCTCTCTAGGGGAAGTGATGGTGAGTGCGGACCGTGTGTGCCGCTTAGTGTGCCTATTTGCCTTTATTTGCTGTTCATCCTCCGTGTGACTGTTATTACAGACGAGTATGGAGGTAGTATCGAGGAGGCCTGAGTGGACAGGATAATCCCAGCGATGTGGCAGAGCTCAAGCTATCCTACATGGTGGCAACAGTGTGTGGAAAAGATAGTGGCAGTGGAGACAATTGTCTCCAAGCCTCACCCCGGCGATGAATTCCCTTAAAGGGAAAATGAGACAGAGGATAGGGAATTCCTTATGTCCCCAATGACTTAGTTGCTCAGATCTAGGTGGCATCGAGACAGCGGTTTTTCACGGAGACGGTGATAACGTCCCGCAACTTCTCTTGCTTGAGAGGTGGGGACCGCTTGCCACTGCTAGGGAGAAGCCGTTGTCTCCGATCTACTCCAAAGAGGAGCTTGAGTTCCGCAGCACAAATCAACGTCGGTATTGTTGTTGTCGGAGAGAAGACACGAGGGAGAATGGCACGTTGGTCATGTTTTAGAGATTAAAGAGGGATTGTTTTCAGTGTCACTAGCATGTGGTTCAATTGGAGTTTTTTACTTTTACTCTTTTTTTTATTTTTCTGATTGTAATGTCGCGTAATTGCCATCATGAATGAAGACCAAATCAACGTGACACATAGTTGACGTGTTAGCTGAAACCGCCTTATAAACCAATAAGGAAGATAAATTGATCCGGGTTTCATAGTTGAGGGAGCACCTATATTTGATTTTACTATTGTAATTGGACTTGAACTATAGCTGAGAGAGGTGAAGTGGACTTTTTCCTGCTGAGATTAGCCAAGTTCACGTGCATTCGGCCCCGAGTCTGGCTCTGCTCATTTTTGGGGCTTTGGAATTGGAAAGGAAAGGAAAAAAATACACCGAAGGTCCCTCAACTTGTTATCGAGTTACGAAATCGTCCTCCAACTGTAAAACCGAATATCCGGCGTCCCTTAACTAATCAAAACCGGTCACAATAGATCCTTCGGTGGTTTTGTCCCTGGTTTTGTCCTACGTGGCGGCTGAGTCAGCGTGTGACCCACGTGGGCCCCACATGTCAGGAGCCCAGGTCATCTCACTTCCTTTCTCTTCCTCTCTCTCTCCCCTCACTCTTTTCTTCTCTTCTCTGGGATGGAGTTCATGGCACGGCGGACAACGGAGGTTGACTGTAGGCTGGTCCCACGCCGCGGCTCCGCCACACTCGCTCGACAGTCCACGCCGGCACGGTGTGTGCCTAAAGCCACCGCACCACCCGAGGCAGCTCAGGCGCGCCACCTCCTCCAGATCCACGCCCAGTTCGTTGCGTCCGGCCTCCTCGCCGACGCCTTCGCCACTAGCCGCCTCATCCTCTTCACCACCTCCACCCGCCTCCTCCCGCTCCCGTTCCACCACTCGCTCCGCCTCGCCCCGTCGTTCTGCGCAGCCCGAGCCAACGAGAGCGGCGAGCAACCGCTCGGGCAAAGCCCGCTCGAGGCCGAGCAGCAGCCGCCGCCGCAGCCGCGGGGAGGGGACGGAGGGAGCAAGGACGCCACCGCCGTCGCGCCACGTCCGGGCCTGGCAGGGAGGGAACGGGGAGAGCGAGGACGCCGTCGTCGTCACGCCGCGTCGGGGTCTGGTGGGGAGGGGACGGGGAGAACGAGGCTGCTGCCGTCGCGCCGCGTCGGGGCCTGGCGGGGAGGGAACGGGGAGAGCGAGGACGCCGCCGCCATCGCGCACGCAGCTCCATCGTTTCTCGTTCCCCAACCTCAGCTGGGGCAACCACCGCCTCCTCCGCTGCTCCAAGAACCCCGCCTCATCGCCTCCACCCGCGGTGCCGGACACCCCGTCGCCGGACAAGGAGAAGACCGCCCACAGCTCCACTGACGGCGTCGGCGTCGGCAGTTTGCCTCAGCGGGGTCCGCAACGGCCGTGGAACCTCCGCACCTGCCGCTCTGCCACCGCCGCACCGTGTCCAGAGGGATTGGACGATGCGGCTGATGCCGCGCTGGAGTGAGCGCCGCCGCCGCTGGCGACGACCAAGAAGCGGGTGTCCTCCAACGTGCTGTCCGAGGAGATCGCCCATGTCTTCAAGACGATAATAGGGGAAAGACAGAGGAATTGAGGGTGCCATGACGTGGCTACTCTGACATGTGGGGTCCACGTGGGTCCCATATTGATTCAGTTGCCACGTAGGACAAAACCGGGATCAAAACCGCTTGAGGATGTAAAGTGACCGGTTTCGAAAATTGAGGGATGTCATATATCTAATTTTATGGTTGGGGGACGATTTTGTAACTCGATGACAAGTTGAGGGACCTTCGGAGCACTTTTTCCAATTGGAAACCTAACCAAAAATATCACAAAGGGCCCATTTGGATTCACTGTTACGGTTTTACCATTGCCTGAACTGTACTCTCGTTGTTCAGTTTGGTAGTTGAGTTGACAGCGGGGATCCGCCGACGCCGCACACCGTCTTTTCCTGTGGCGACATGCATCGCACAGTGACGAGCCAGTCAGTACCCAGTACAGAAACCGCGCGGCTCACGGGGGAAAACCCACCAATCGCGACATCATCAACGACGCTGGTAAAAAACCCAGTACAAGTACACAACCTTCTCACATCGCAGGAGATCAACCAGACAACCAACCAGCCGGGCCAGCGCTCTACAGACTAGTACAGACTACAGAGATCGGCAAGGCTGCATGCTGGAACCAGAGACGCTGACGCCCCACTCCACCACCGATCGATCGCTGGTATCCGAGGGGGAGGTTTTGTCCGTCCCCTCGTCCCCCGCACTGTTCGCGCTCGCTCGCCCGCTGCTCTGCTCGTCTCTTCCACCATCAAATGATCACATGCTGTCCATCAACTCACCCCCGTCGTCTCGTGTGCGTGCAGCTTTCCCCCACGGCCTCCTGCTGCTGCCGACCCGACCCGACCTAGCGTCCCTCGCCATCGCGCGATCGTGAGAAAAATCGGGTGTTATTGTGTAGTAGAAAAAAAAACCGGTCCCGTCCTTTGATTCCCTCTGCCTGGGCGCCGCCCGCTACGGGACGCGAGAGCAGCTACCAGCAACCCGACAAACCGCACAGGCGGCCTCCCCCTCCCGCGCGCGCCAGCGTCCAACGCTAACGGCGACCCGCGCCTCTCTCACAGTGTCTCTCCCGCTAGCGTTATCATCATCAGCTGCGGGCTTGCTATGCTATGCTTGCTTGTTGCAGTGGTTTTGCCACGGAGAAGGGTCACCGGGAAATTATTGTTTAGGCTGACGTGATGCTCCAGGGAGTCCTGTCGCGAGCTCCCGGCGCCGACGCGGCAGCGATGAAGGCGAAGCGCGCGGCCGACGACGAGGAGGAAGGCGGCGAGCGGGAGCGCGCGCGTGGGAAGCGGCTGGCTGCTGAGGGGAAGCAAGGGTTAGTGGTGGTGAGTACGGGGGAGGAGGAGGAGGCGGCGGCGGAGACGCGTGGGCTGCGGCTGCTTAGTTTGTTGCTGAGGTGTGCGGAGGCGGTGGCGATGGACCAGCTGCCGGAGGCGCGGGACCTGCTGCCGGAGATCGCCGAGCTGGCGTCGCCGTTCGGGTCGTCGCCCGAGCGCGTCGCGGCCTACTTCGGGGACGCGCTGTGCGCGCGCGTGCTGAGCTCCTACCTGGGGGCCTACTCGCCGCTGGCGCTCCGCCCGCTCGCCGCCGCGCAGAGCCGCCGCATCTCCGGCGCGTTCCAGGCGTACAACGCGCTGTCGCCGCTCGTCAAGTTCTCGCACTTCACGGCCAACCAGGCCATCTTCCAGGCGCTCGACGGCGAGGACCGCGTCCACGTGATCGACCTCGACATCATGCAGGGGCTGCAGTGGCCGGGCCTCTTCCACATCCTCGCCTCCCGCCCCACCAAGCCGCGCTCGCTCCGGATCACCGGCCTCGGCGCGTCGCTCGACGTCCTCGAGGCCACCGGCCGCCGCCTCGCCGACTTCGCCGCGTCGCTCGGCTTGCCCTTCGAGTTCCGGCCCATCGAGGGGAAGATCGGGCACGTCGCCGACGCCGCCGCGCTCCTCGGCCCGCGCCACCACGGGGAGGCCACCGTTGTGCACTGGATGCACCACTGCCTCTACGACGTGACGGGCTCCGACGCCGGCACGGTGCGCCTGCTCAAGAGCCTCCGGCCGAAGCTGATCACCATCGTGGAGCAGGACCTCGGCCACAGCGGCGACTTCCTGGGCCGCTTCGTGGAGGCGCTGCACTACTACTCGGCGCTGTTCGACGCGCTGGGCGACGGCGCGGGGGCCGCCGAGGAGGAGGCGGCGGAGCGGCACGCGGTGGAGCGTCAGCTCCTCGGCGCGGAGATACGGAACATCGTCGCCGTCGGGGGCCCCAAGCGCACCGGCGAGGTGCGCGTCGAGCGGTGGGGCGACGAGCTGCGGCGAGCGGGGTTCCGGCCGGTGACCCTGGCCGGCAGCCCCGCCGCGCAGGCGAGGCTGCTTCTTGGCATGTACCCATGGAAGGGCTACACTCTCGTCGAAGAGGACGGCTGCCTCAAGCTCGGGTGGAAGGACCTGTCCCTGCTCACCGCCTCGTCGTGGGAGCCGACAGACGGCGACGCCGACGCCGACGTCGCCGTCGCCGGCGATACCCACCATGAGAGCCACGATTCTTGATCACATGATCGCAGTAGCAGCCAGGTCGATTCACCTGTCGCAGCTTTTCTTGGTCATATTCATTATCCTCTTTCTGCTAGCTACTTCATTCGATCGTTCTTCCTCCTGTGAGTAGTATTTTGGCCGATGATTAAGCTTGTAATATAATCGTATAGGCTTCATCATTCGTTCCCTCTCCAGGTTGCCATGAACAACACCATTTCAATTACAAAATAGAACTCTTCTACCTCCAAAAAGAACTTGAACTTTCGTGAGCAAGATATCCGCAAAGTCGCAATCTGCATCATCATCTGCCTGCTGCTGCTTCATCGAAATTTTGGATTATTAGATAGGTCGTCAACTAGTGATCGATTTAATTGTGGACAGGGGAGCCAGGGATCAGGATATGATGTGAGGTGATGAGGTGACAAATGACAAAATAATTAAGGAGAGGTGCTTGCACGGCCGGATTCTGATAATTAACTTGATAATATTATTGTCATAGCTGAATAGCTGAATAGTGACAGCTTACCCGTCGGCTCTATCGAAAACTCGCAAATCTACTGGCAACAGGTACTGTTCAGTTTCACGGTTTTATGCCCTATTCAGTTGTCTTGTTACAACGCAACGACTTTGAGAAGCTATTAGCTTAGCTGTTGCGAGAGTGACTGTTTGCACGTATCGGTGTACTTCCTCCGTCTCAAAATAAACAACCTAAAATAAATTGAACATTATATAATACAACGAATCTGAATAAAGATAATGCCTTATACTAAATCAGAAAGAGAGTAGGATTTTGTAACTGTTTTTCGTGCTCTGATGCAATTGGGTTTTTTTAACGAATCACACGAGACGGTGCGAGGTTCTATTGATAGAGTATGAAAAAATTACAAGATTACAACCATAGAGAGTCGTAACCAGGAAAAGAAAAAAAATACCACCCACACGCCGACATCGCCAACACACACGCCCAGGAGAGGGCTAGCACCGGATCGGCCGCTTCTAAACGTAACCGACCGCCACTAGACCAACAGAGGGGCACAGACGAGATCGCCACATAGGGGCACTGATGCAATTGGGTTGCTGTATGAAATTATGAACCGCGGCAATTGGGTTGCTGTATGAAATTATGAACCGCGGCAATACAGAAGGGACGCTGTTTCTCTTGGATTTTTTTTTCCTTTTTGGTGATATGACGATGGAATACTTAACTACAGCTATATATACAGGCGGTTGCATTAGACAGATCACGAGGATAAATCTCTGGACACATAGCAGATGGACACGAAAAGGCTGGGGCCGAGGCGATGACATGATATTTCAGGACGCAGATCAGGTTGGTTGACATGATTGGGGGCAGCACAGGATTGGGCAACTCGTGAGCCACACAGACTGTTTCCATCCAGTTCCGGCCTGCTGGTGTTGCCTCTTCTCCGTACGCTAAAGCTGGGATTGCTGCAATGTGAGTGGTCATTCTTGCGATCGTGAGCATTGATTTGGATCCAAGATGCACTGTTCACATTCAAATACATTTCCAATGGATCAGTAGGGTGAAATCGGTAAGATCTTTTTTTTTTGGTTGGTAAGAAATGCTAGGTTCATTTAGGGCCCCTTTGAATCGCAAGATTGAGAAAATGTAGGAACAGGAAAAACGTAGGATTTTGATAGGAATGTAAGTGTAAAACAGAGAATTGCAAAACACAAGAAAAACACAGGAATGGACGTTTGATTGAACCGCAGGAATTAGATGAGAAAGATAGACTCAAAGAAAAATTACCAAGAGGTTGAAGCTCTTACTAAATTTCCTCCAAAATCTCTATAGTATTGTCCATTCCATAGAAATTTCAAATAATTGGATTAGATTCAATGCTTTGTTTCAAAGGTTTCATAGGAAATTTTACTATAGGATTGAAATCCTCCAAAATTCTTATGATTTTCCTCCAAATCAAAGGGGCCCTTAGAGCAAGTATAATAGTAAGCTATAAGTTTACTATAAGCTTATGTGGAGGAGAGAGGTAGTGAAAAATCAAGAGTGTTGGCTCTCATGCAAGAGCAAGCTTATCACAAGCTCCAAGACAAATATATTAAATGTATATGTGAGAGATAGAGAGAGGAGAAGAAAATTATAGCCAACCTTATAGCTAATCTATTATATATGTTGGCTTTAAGATAGGCTAATAGTAGGAAGTAAGCTCTACTGTTATCCTTGCTCTTATACTTTTGTCATAAATGGCTCTGATTGTACTAACTGAAATAAAGGAACGGCTTTTAATTGCATCAGAACCCTGGCCATTGATTAACATACTCCCTCCATCCTAAAAGAAGTGTAGTTTTACACTATTCACGTTTAACGTTTGACCGTTCGTCTTATTTAAATTTTTTTTATGATTAATATTTTTATTGCTATTAGATGATAAAACATGAGTAGTACTTTATGTGTGACTAAATATTTTTAAATTTTTCACAAATTTTTCAAATAAGACGGATGGTCAAACGTTGGGCACGGATATCCATGGCTGCACTTATTTTGGGACGGAGGTAGTATCTAGCAACGATTCGGCTGACTAGTCAATGCGGAAGACATTCGATCATTGGGAGAATCATCTTCTTGAACCAGGGCATGGGAGCCTACGCAGTCGGTCCAGGAATAGTGGGAGAAACTGGAACTGGCCAATACGGTAGGAGTTCCCAAAAAAGAATGGCGCACTCTCATCCTCCTTGTGGTGCGGGAGATCTGGAAGGAGCAGAATCAGCAGATTTTCTAGCACAAGGAGTCCACAGCGACGTATTTGCTTGCCAAAATCAAAGAAGAGGCCAAGCTCTGGATGCTGGCCAGCGCCAGAAGATTGCGTGAGCTCCTGCCACATCTTGTATAGTGTACTTTTCCCTTTTTCGCCCCTAGGGATTATATTTTTTCCTGCTATATTCAATGAAAAGGCAGTCTGTGCCTTTTTCCCTTAAAGAAAAGTCAATACGAAAGACATTCGATCATTCATTGTTAAAAAAACCCTATGTAATATCATTTGTGGCTTATTTTACCATTAAAGTTATTTTAGTATAACTTATATTACATTATCTTTTAATAAAATAAAATCAAACTGATGTTTAAAAGTCAATAATATCATGCTTTTCAAAATGGAGAGAATACGTGGTTTTACTAAGGAATAAGTTCATCTAAGGTCCCTTAACTTGTCAACGAATCCGATTTTCATCTTTCAATCACAAAACCAGATACAACTGATCCCTCAACTAACAAAACCGGTGCGAATTAGGTCCCTCGGCGGTTTCGATAGCAGTTTTGGCTGACGTGGCGCCTACGTGGCTAATTTGACTCGGTCTTAATCTGACGTGGCACTGATATGGCGCTTACGTGGCAATTCAATTCGGGAAAATAATAAACCCCGTGGGACCCACATGTCAGTTTCACACACAAATTAATAAAAAATGACGGGGCCCACGTGGGCCCCACATGTCATTTCACCCCTCTTCTTCCTCCTCTCTCTCCCCATCTCCCATCTCTTCATCTCTCTCCCCTTTCCTCTCTCGCTTCGGTGCTCGCCCCGCTCTCCTCGTCCCCAGGCCTCTCCGACCGCCTCCTCGCCGCCCGCCACGAGCTCCACGAGCGGCAGGAGCACCTCGCCGCTGCCTCCTCGTAGCCGACCTCGCTGCTCGACTTCGTGCTGCCCGCGCCTCACCCGACCCCCTCGCCGCCACTGCCGAGCTCAAGCCTCTCTTGGTGGATCCCGAGGGATCTGGATCTAGTCAGGACAAACCCGTCGCCGTCATCGGCGTCTGGGCACGGTTCATGAGCAAAGGCGGCTGCGCCGTCGCTGGTCCATCACCAGCTTCTCGCTGTCCACGCTGACCAACTCGCTCGTCGTCGGCGTGCCCATGGCGCGCGCCATGTACGGCGAGTGGGCGCAGCAGCTCGTCGTTGTCAGCTCTGGCCAAGGATTACAGCAACACGCGCACTTCAACTAGCTGGAGCGAAAATCTTTGTGGACAAACACAGAAGAATTTCTCGACGACAACACCTTATCTAGTTTTTCTCATTCACTTGACACTTAACTCAGGAGATTATATGACTTTTATAGCCCAGCAAACACACCACTAAGCAAACAAACTTCAGCCGCATCGTACACGCACGCAGCACGCGATCCAATTAATTCGGCAGCCACTAGCTAGCCACATGCACGAAGCTAACTGCCACACAAAAATAATGCTAACAGTTGTCCAGCTCTCCGTCTTCCAGGCCATCGTCTGGTTCACGCTGCTGCTGTTCGTGCTCGAGGTCAGGAAGGCCGCCATCGGAATGTACGTCGACGGCGCCTCGTCCTCCGAAGAGTCGTCGGCGGCGCCGGCGGCCAGCAAAGGGCGTCACGAGGCCAGCGCTGGCACCGCCGCATCCACGCCTCCACGGTCATTGTCGTCACCGCGGCGAGCGGCGCCGGCAAGCCGTCGCTGTGGGGCGCTGGTGAAAGTGGTGGCGCCGCTCCCTCCTCACCGGTCGACGCCGCCGCGCGCCGCTCCCTCCTCTCCCGCCGGCGGTCATCGAGGAGAAGGGTGGCGGACGGCGGCCATCGGGGACAAGGGCGACGAGCGGTGGGAAGGAGCTAGGCGAGCTCCCTGGTCTACCGGCGAGCGCGTGCAAGAGCGAGTTGGCCGGTGGCCACTCTTCTCCATTTCCGCCGCCGCCGTCGTCGCAAGAGAGATAAAAAGAGGGGATGGGGAGAGAGGAAGCAGAAGAGGAGGGGTGAGTTAGACTGACATGTGGGGCCCACGTGGGCCCCGCCATTCTTTTATTAATTTGTGTGTGAAACTGACATATAGGTCCCACGGGGTTTATTATTTTTTCGGATCAAATTGCCAGTAAGCGCCCACGTCAGTGCCATGTCAGATCGAGACCGAGTAAAATTAGCCACGTAGGCGCCACGTCAGTCAAAACCGCCATCGAAACCACCGAGGGACCTAATCTGCACCGGTTTTGATAGTTGAGGGACCCGTTGTATCTGGTTTTGCGGTTGAAGGACGTAAATCGGATTCGTTCATAAGTTAAGGGACCTTAGATGAACTTATTCCTTTTACTAACCACGAGCCAGCATGAAATGCTTTCACTTGAGGTTCCATCGGTCCAGCCTATTACGTGATTACGTCCGACTCACTATGCCCAATTAAAGCCCAGCAGCCCAGCTAACTCTCCTGCCCATAATACGGCCCATGCGATTCGGAACTCTTGCGAAAAGGACCCTGTTTAGTGCTTACTCCCTCCATCCAAAAATATTTGATGCCGTCGAATTTCTTTAAATACGTTTGATCGTTCGTCTTATTAAAAAATCTAAGTAATTATTAATTCCTTTCCTATCATTTGATTTATTATTAAATATACTTTTATGCATATATATAGTTTTACATATTCCATAAAAGTTTTCGAATAAGACGAACGGTCAAATATATATTTAAAAACGTCAACGGCGACAAATATTTAGGGAATGAGGGAGTACTAAGTTGCAGATTTTGCAGTTACAACCCTGCCAGCTGCGTTCGGGAGAACCCCTCCTCCCTGGCACGCAAAACGGAGCACGCATTATTGCATGATTAATTAAGTATTAGCTTTTTTTTTTCAAAAATGGATTAATTTGATTTTTTAAGCAACTTTTGTATAAAAACTTTTTGCAAAAAACACATCGTTTAGCAGTTTGAAAAGCGTGCGCGCGGAAAACGAGGGAGAAGGGTTGGGAACTTGAAGGAAAGAACACACTGTAAGAGCAGACTATAAGCCAGCTATAAACATATTTTAAAGAGATAAAAGAAGAGAGAAGAGCAGTGGGCTACAGATTTGTAGCCAGCTGCAGCGCGGACTCCAAGAGAAATATGTGTATGACAGGTGAGACCAGGTATTAATATTATAGTCAGCAACTATTGTATAAATTGGCTATAACATTAACTATAGATGATTTAGAGCCAGTGTCTATACTATAAACTTGCTCTAAGTGTCTAGTGTCTACTATCGCTACATCTTGGACGACCGCGTCTTCTTTCCTCCATGCATGCTCCATCCTAGCTGCTTGTGTGACTCCGCCCAGTTTTGTCTCTCGCCCAATTGGCAATCACAGGTTCAATTCGCAGCCAACCTAGCTAGGCACTCGTCCGGCCGGCCCTTCGTCGTCGCTTGGCTATCTAGCTTCCTTCGATCAGCTTCAAAACCGAAGCCGCCCCCGTTGTCTTCATTCCACCGTACGTTGATCCGCTAGACTCTGCTCCAGTTGACCAGTACTCGATACTCGTGTGTTCGGTGTTCCTCCTGGCTATATATACACGACGCGTTGCCGTTGCCGTTGCCGTTGCCGGCCACTCGCTCTCTCCATCTCGTCTCGCCCAAGCGCACGCGTTTCCACCGTCTGCTACTGCTAGCGTGCTACTGTCTCGCTGATCGATCATGAGTTACTACGGCCAGCAGCCGGCTCCCGTGACCGGTAATGCTACAGATGACTTTGGGAATTAATTGGGAGACTTCTGCTGTTCTTGGTTGCGTTCATGCTTCCTTTTTTTTTACTGATGGAGTGATTTCGGTGTTCGAATTTTTTGCTTCCTTGATTTCTTTTGCGAGCAGCGTACCCACCGCCGGCGATGGCGCCACTGCAGCAGCCGACGGGGCAGGCGCCGTACACGGCGCCGCCGCAGGGCAACTACGCGCCGCCTCCGCCGCCGGGATACCCGGGCAACTTCGACGTGGGCATGAACCCGCCGCAGCCCGCGCAGACACAGAGCCGCGGTGACAAGGCCTTCCTGGAAGGATGGTAATTAAGCTCGGTGTCACTGATAATAATGTCTTGTGTGAGGCAGTGGCTGAGCCTACCGCCTACCATTTTCTGTTTACTCCAATCGATCATAACCTAATAGCAGGGACAACATAAGCTGTGCACTTTGTTACCAAAATTAACCTTATTAAACTGTGGCAATATCAACTTTTGACAAGCTTTGGTGTTATCGAATTTTAGTAGCGTTTGATGTCTTTTCAAAATTTAGTACTAGCGTTTTTATGATAGGAAAGTTCTAGAACTACTAAATTTTAGTAGTATGATAATATTGGTGACATCATATTTAGTTTGTTATCTTACTAAAATTTAATAAGGTTAAAAGCGATTATAAAATGAACAAGCCCATAGTATCTTCCTACGTTTATAGAAAACCTAACTCAACACCTAAGTTATAGGGTTTATTTATGATTAAAAAGAGGTTGCTAGAATTGGGGTATGAAGTAGACTTTTTTACCCCTATTTTTCGTAATGAGACAATTACTCTTTTTCATAACTAGAAAAAAAATATCCATGCGTTGCAACGGGTAAAAGCTATTTTAATCTTATCACTGTTGTACAGTTTAGCTAAGGTGAAATTCACTCTGGAAATTCGTTTGGATATTTATTTTACAAAATCATAAGCTACAATTAGGAGTCCTTTCTGTATTTTTAAAAACGAACGAACTTAAAAACAGACTCAAATACATATATGTATTTCTAAAAGCAAATGAAATTAAAAACCGACTCATATACGGACGACGTACAAAGTACCGGCAAAAACATCTTCAATTTTTATAATAGTAGTGATATGCGAAAGTAGACTGAAGAACTGAAATACTTAACCGTTCTGTTGTTTTGCAGCTGTGCTGCCCTTTGCTGCTGTTGCCTCCTCGACATGTGCTTCTAAGGCTATTGAGAGTACAAGTATAAGCAAATCATATGTTGCAAGTAGAGTATGTTCAAGGCTGTACTGTCCAGTTGAAGGTTTGTACTTATGTGCCATGTAAGAGTTGAATGAAGATTTACCATGTTCAGGCTCCTATTGGATAGCCTAATCAGCCAAAGAAAAAGCTAAATTTTGGATTTTCAAGCTTAATTTTGAGATATTTTCAACGTAGTTTCTTTTTTAACATTGTCTTTTAAGTCACCAAGAACACATTTATAAAAATTTCACCTACAAATTCATTTTTATTTCCTAATAAACCGTTTTGGATTATTAGGAAATAAGCCAAACCATGGGGACTTCATTTTTTAGTTCCTGGATACTTATGCACGGAAAAGAAAATGAGGACAGTAAATATGGATTATCAATTTTTCTGCAAGTATATAGGACATTAAACTACTAGATGTTTAAATAACTACAATCACCTCCCTGCATAAATAACTCTTATGCCTCGGGATCCGTGAAATATACAGGAGTTTCTAGATCATCATTGTTTGCAGAAGCAAATGAATCTTCAGATCCTATCGTCGATGGACTTGAAATACTACTCTCTTCAGAATCCGAGATTTCATCATGTACAACCACAGGCTCCTCAAGCTCGGACTCAGATCCTGAAGTCCCTAATTGCTTATTAATTGCAACCTTGGCCATGTCGAGGAACCATTCATCCTCGGGTAGAGAACTGAATAATGAGAGGAAGAAGACAACAGTCTGAGCAATTCGGCCATGAAAGACAGGCAACTAAATAAAAGGAAAAAATGTGAACGGCAGAAAGCATGATTACAGACCTTTGTGGGTCAACATTTCTCACTGAGAAAGCTGCGATTGCCCTAGTTATGATTACCGACACAAGCTGCTGAACAGGTCTGTGTGGATACCGTCCACAGACAGCAATCTCAACGACGAAGTGCATATCAAGAATAAGCTGAAATCATAAAGTAATGATCTTTTAGTATTTGAACCAAAGTAACATGAAAGCTTGAGAAAATATACCTGCTGTAGTCCTGAAGGCCGGAGTTGGATGGATTGATCCTCGAAAACATCCCAGAATTCCTGTTCATTGGAGAGCCACATGACAACCGTTTCAGTTAGCCTTGAGAGCAAGACCTTCTGTATCTTCTCTTTACCCAGTAAGACATCACCAGCAACACTAGCTAGCTGCCGTAACTTTACAAACAGCGCCTGAGAAAAATATATAGATAGATAGGTGAGATAACTGTGTTTTTTTGTTTAAGCAGTAAATTAATTAGCTTGAGGATAACACAAACACATTGCCTTTGCTCTCTTAAAATACATCAAAGGCACTGTATGTAATCATCTGAACAGAAATGCATGATAAATTGAGCTGAAATTATTAAGTCATCTTTAACATGTTCAGATTTCTATTTTTAACATCAAAGGTACTGTATCTAATCATTTTTAAGTCAATGTATGTCCTCCCCTTCACCAGTTTCAAGCTAATAGGAATGATCCACTCAGAAATGGGGATGAGGATTCCCATATAATAAAATGTCATGCTTTGTGATGGACTGAAGCAACTTTAGTGTAGACAAACTTAGAAGACTTGATAAGGGAATAGGAGTCCACATGGCAACTAGCCCTATGTTGACTAAATGATGCACTTTTCTGTTTAGTGTTAACTAGCAAATGAAATGTAATTAAATTAAAGATCAATTTTGAGATTGAAAGGAAACAAGAAAACAGTTATCAAAGAAATATTATGTTCCTAAGTTATCCCCTTGTGCACAGCATGATGGTCCAAAAGTAGTACCAGACATCGCAGCATCATCCTTTTTTCAGTTTGATCCTATCCTTATAAACAGGGGATTGTTTTAATATAGACCTGTGAACTGCAATGCCGTGGTTTTTTCATGGTGACAAGAAATCATTTTGAGCTTTTAACACGATCGATGCAAAAAACTGATATCACATCATTGAAATGGAATCACCTGGAAAGGCAGAGAAGGTGAAGGATCACACTCCCAAAGAAGATCATCAGTTTTCAGCTCCAAGTACATTCTAGCATCCAGTCGTGATTTCCCTTCTAAGTAAATAAATGATAAGACATACTGTAGGCAAAAATGATCCCTCAGTTTGTCCAGTGAATGTTGCAGACTACGTTTCCACTCTTTGTATTCTATGGAGTATATAGATCCAGAGCCAAGGCCCTCGCCTGTTCCACCAATTCTCTTCTTCTCGGTTTGGATATCAAAAAATTTGGATACAGCTGCTGGCAATAATTCATCTGCTACAGTGTATGCTGTTCCAATGAGTTGAATCTGCTGGGCATCACTCTCTGCTTTAAATTCTATAGGCTCTTTTGACTCCACTAGATGATCATCCTCAGAAGCTCCTGGTAAGACTTCAATTAGTGCTTCAACATATTTATCAAATAGCTGGACAAATTTATTCAAAATCGTTCCTCCAAAGTGAACTATAGTCATTGGGGTAATTTGATCCAAAACATCCTGAAAGAAGCAGATACAGAGATCAGCTGCTTCATAATATAGACAACAGGTGGTGTACATTAAATTCTAAAGCAACTCGATGAACTGCACGCTGTTCTAATTTCCATTCATTCCATAAAAGTGTGTCATTTCCAAATTTCTGTAATAGGCTATAGTATTTTGGTGCCTGCACTAACTAATGCTAGTGGGCCACGTATATTTATCATATGTATGTGGGCGCAGGGATATGTTACATGTATCTTTGGTTGCTTTCTACCAAGTAAATAACATAAAGCAACGGCGTACATTAATCCAGGTGTAATTTCAACAAGGTTTTCAAGTGGTGCTAGAAACCCATACCAACAAAAAGAAATGCTGCTATAGTGCTAGAAACCAGGAAATCATGTGTATCTTAAAATGAGAATGCATTGGATTTAATACATATCGAGTTTAGTGACAGGATCATTCAATTACTTAATAATATTGTTCAGTTGAACACAACAGAAAACTGAATTGTCAGACACATTAAGAAAAAAGGTTGTAATAAGGAAAATCCAGTAAAAAGAATAAAACAGGAACTCACATTGACAATGGACATGAACTTCTTTCCACTGCTTGTAAGCATTATATTTGGTGCAACTGAACTAGAGAGCCGTGATCCTTCTTGAGGGCTGGGAAGCAGAATATCATCATTTTTTGCTGAATCTACAATCTTTCTTCTCAGCCTTCTAAAATTCAGCTCAAGCACTTCTTCAACATAGGGGTGCAATAGTACCATTAGTAAATTTGAGAATTTCAGGCCATATGATTCTAGATAAGAGCAGTGAGTGAGACTAGTTTGGATGCATATGCAGGCAGAACGAAGGGCAGATACGCTCTCAGGCAAAGGAGAATTTTCCTTAACCAAACGCGCAAAGGTTTCTATTTCATATTCAGCCCACTGAATAATCCGGTTCAAATTCATGGGGCTATCCCCAAATAGCGAACTAGATTCTTTGGATACCTTTGAGATAGCTGAGAAAACAATCTTTGACAAAGTTGCAGAGTAAGTTTCTGTGTAGATCGAACATGTTGGAAGAAATGCTTCAACATTTTTCTGAAGACGTGACCCATAAGCTTTTAGAAGTACTTGGTGGGCTAGAGAACCTTTGCCAATCTTAATAAGGCCAGACAAAGATTTCCTTAGCTCGGTAATAGATAAAGAAGGCTGTTCTGAATACCTAACAAGCTGATCCTCAAGAATTGATTTCCTTTTAGATAGTGCTGTCTTATAGGTAGAAATCTCTGCATCTAATTCTTTGCCAGGATCATCCGTAGCCATACATTTCTTCTCTTCGGTTTCCAAAGCAAGCAATGCCTCCTCTATTTTGTGCTCCGCGAGCAAAGTATCTAATTTATCCAGAAAACTAACCTTGGAATCTTGGGTATCATATGACAAAATTTCATCAAGTTCTGTTTGAAGGTCTTTCTCTTCCACATGTTCATCCTTGCAATGTTTTTGCCACATTTCGAGTTCACGGCACACACCGCTCATTAGATCTTGCACAAGAATCCCCTGGGCAGACACATGCTTCTGCAACTCAATTAATTCTTGTTCTGCCTCAACAACCTCCTCAGATATTCTGCATGAAGAAAACAAACACCAGAAAACATTGCGGTAGATTAAAAACAGCAAATGAGTGCAAGGAAGTAGGAAGAAACGCTAAACATTATATATTACTTTCTAAATTTATAGCGACTCAAAGATAAAAGCTGAATCGTGCGTTAACAAAAACATTGATGAACTTGGGAAAAGGTTAACTTGTACGTTTCAGCAACAAGACTTAGTAAAGAATAAACGACCAACAAGAATATAAAGGGAAGGATCCATAGAGACAACATTCTCTCTAATATCAGAAGGGAATGAATCGATCAGTAATTAACATTAACCTGAGGAAAGCGTGGTATTTCGACTGCATATTCCCGCACAAGTTTTCGATAGCATCCTTCAACTCCAGTAGCTCAGAGCAAATTTTCCTGATGCCCTGTTCAACACAGCAGGTAGCATCAGTGAGTAGAGTACCATCACCACACTAGCAAGAAGGTCTCAGCAATAACCAGAGTCCCCAGTTCCCCACCAGAGGCCCCAGCAGACACAAATGCAGGTGAACCAACACCTCCATTTAAGTTCAATTGCAATAAGGTCAAGCTAGCCTAGGTTGTACTTCAGATTGCATTGCAGTTTGCTTCAATTATAACTCACACCAGATTGTATTATCGCACACGCTACACAATCAAGATTCACAAATTATAATTTGTTAAAAAGAACTCGATGCCCAAACTGCTGCATAGATTAATTAGCGGTTGCCCCTTGCAACACCACCACACCACAGATCCGAAACCGTAATATAAACTCGACCACAAAGCGAGCGAAATAGCTGCAAGGAGATGGCGAGCAAGAACTAGCCGAGACAGAATGTGGGAGCGGGGGGAGAGGGCGGAGTGGAGGAGGAATGAAGGAAGGAAGGGGGGGCAAACCTTCTCGGTCTGCGACTGGTAGGCGGCGCGGATGGAGGACTGCGGGGTGATCCACTCGTGGCCAGGGAAGTCCTCCTCCAGCTCCTCCTCGCTGCTGCTCTCCATCGCCGCCAGCCTCCCCAGCTTCGTCGGAACCTCCTCGCCGATCGAGAGAGCTGCGGCTTGCGGGCTTTGCGGCGGCGGTGTGCGGCGGGGAGGGGAGGGGAGGGGAGTGGGGAGAGGTGGGGGTTGGGGGGTGGAGGAGAGTACGGAGAGTGTGCCGTTATGGGCGGGGCGGGTCACCCACCGGCAGCGACCGGAGGGCTACCGTGTAGGGGTTTTTTCTGCTTCGTCTCGTCTGCGATGGGGGTGGTCATCACAAGGTGGGGGTGGTCATCACAAGGACACAGGGGGCCCGGGCTGTCGGTGTAAAGATGCTTTACCTGGTGAAACCTTTTCCCTTTCATTTTTTTACCTATTGTTAATTTTGTTCTATTAAAGCTTGGTTTAGTTCCTAAATTTTTTTTAAAAAAACATCACATCAAATCTTTAAACACATGCATGAAGCATTAAATATACGTAAAATCTATTTGGAGAGGCCTCTCGTTTTTGCCTTAACCAGCGACACCTGAACGTGTGGAGAAATCTACTATAGCGTACTACATGCATGCATTTTTTAGAAGTCTACTACATCACATGTATGTTATTTTCCTCTTCAAACAAAGTTTTCTCTCAAATTACTTATCCGACCTACAATCCGATTACACCATTGTGTTCGTTACAATTAAATCTTCACAGTAAGATCTTACATGATTATATTACGATGAAAAAATATTTATATTTGTAAATTACTTTTATTATATATGTAAGTTACTTTTTATCATATATATAAGTTACTTTTAAATTTGACTAAATTACTTCTTAGATATATAAAAGTAAATTCAATAGAGTCTAAAAGTAATTTACATATATTATAAAAGTAACTTAAAACAAAACGGAAGTAACTTTGTCACGACATTAGAAGTAAATTCGTTGTACGGATAAAAATATGACTTTATCTAAAAATAAAATTTAATCAGCACAAATCAACACATGTAAGTTTAACAATTTTTAAAAGTAACTTTAATGTTAACTGAAAGTAACTTTTGCATGGTTCAAAAGTAACTATATATAAATCTGCTTAATCATCGATTGTTTTTTTTCTTTTATTTTTAGCTGTGTAGTTACGTCCAATGAAAAAGGGCATTCATTAAAGTTACTTTCCTTTTGTTATAAGTTATTTCTATAATATATGTAAATTACTTTTAGGCTTTATTGAATTTACTTTCATATGTCTAAAAGTAATTTAGTGAAATCTAAAAGTAATTTAGATATATTATAAAAGTAATTTATATTTTTTCATCAAAATATAATCATGTCGGATCTTGTTATAAAGATTTAATTGTTACGAATACAACGGTGTAATTGGATCGTTGATCGGATGAGTAGTTTAAGAGAAAATTATATTTGAAGTATATGTGGATAGTGTCTCTCATAGATGGAGTGGTAGCTGGTTTAGACAAATCAGCTACCACTAGCTGTATAGTCACATCCTTAAATATAGATTAAAAAAACTAATTACACAGTTAGGAGGGAAAATCGCGAGACGAATCTTTTAAGTCTAATTAGTCCATGATTAGCCATAAGTGTTACAATAACCCATATATGCTAATGACGGTTTAATTAGGCTCAAAAGATTCGTCTTACGATTTCCAGGCGAGTTATGAAATTAGTTTTTTCATTCATGTCCGAAAACCCCTTCTGACATCCGGTCAAACATCCGATGTAGCACCTAAATTTTTTTTTTCGTGAACTAAACATGCCCTAGTACGATTCACATGTCCATGCCGAAACTTCTTTTTTTTTAAAAAAAATTATTCACGCTTATAACACCCGCACACCCACCCATATGAACACACATGCACACCCTATCTCTATAAGCAAGACATATTGTTAGATTGACGAAGTCACTATGGATGTTTCGTTGTCCGTGGCAAACAATTTTAGATGGTTTATTTAATGTTATTATATCCATATTTTTTTAACAAGTCTATCTTATATCTTATTTATATTAAGGAAAATACGAACTAGTGTTGGAAAAAAATTACAACTAAATTTAACAAAGCCTCTTCTCCACTACATCCATTGCAATCATGTCCGCTCTATGTTGTTTCCATTCTTGTCGATTTTGCCATGGGTGAAGGAAAGGGGAAATAGAGAACTAAGTAAAATCTGGACGGACACCAATTACACAGTAGCTTTTAAAGACCACAATAGTCATCCATCCCAAAAAATGGATCATAGAACCATTGAAAAAACATCGACAAGTCTATGCCCCAATCATAGATCAGATTTGCTCCTTCGCCGCAATTCATCTACGCAACCATAGCCCTCCACCAGTACTAGATGGACCACCGGTGAAGCAGAGAGATAAGGAAAGAGGTAATTCCAAATAATGTTATCATCATCTCCCCCTATGTAACGTGCCATGGACACAGAACCCATAGCCAATTATGCACCCATAAAAGAAATCACAGAGGCAAGATGATCAGGGGATCAACAGTAAAAGATCCTCCATAAACAACCACCATTAACGACGAGGAAAGAAAGAAAAACTTATTTAGGGAAAAACCTAAACAAACTACTAGATCCATTAAAGGGTGGATTTCCCTTCCCCTCTCGTACCCGCGCGCCATGTTGGAGAGGAGGAAGAAGGGGACTAGTGGATGAAACAAGGTTTTTTTTGGCAGCGCTAAGGGAGGCTCTATGCACCAAAGAGAGCCCAAGTTGTATTGACTTGACGTGGAACAATAAGTTTTATTTGGGTGCATCTTTTTTGTTACGGAGAGTTTTTTTTTAAGTGAGATATGATGAGAGAAGAGAATTGCCCTTTTATAGTAGTAGAGCAATGGAACTCATGGAATTGGTTTTTCGAAGAGTTTTAAAACAAGAGTGATAATTAGGACGGTTTACGCAATTTTATCTTAAATTCAGTGCTATGAAAATAGATGCACAACGGAGACACGAATTTTTACGTGAAAAACCCTTGCGGGAAAAAACCACGGGCGCCGACCGGCAATGATCACTATAGATGAATTGGATACAAACGCAGGGGATACATTGGGCTGTCGCACCCTCCCTGTGCGGCTTACAAGGAATATATATAGGAGAAATCTAGGAGTCCTAATAGGAAACTAATCCTATAATACAAAGTCATATTAGATAACTAATCCGAATATATTGTGGGCCCAAAATTTGGATCACATATTTAACAATCTCCACCTTGAGATGAATTTCCCTTGTAGCATAAAAAAACTTCAATCTCCAAACAACCTTGTGATGAGAAATCAATGTGCTCCAAAATATTCACTTCGACTATAATCCATAACACCCTTAATCCAGAAGAGGTAGACCATGCTTCAAACTCGCCATTAGGAACAAATCCTGAATCTACTGGTATGATATTGTGGAACCCAGTAGAGACGTGAAACTGATGCACAAATTTCAAACTCACCATGGGAATAAAATCCTGAATCTGCTGACATTAATTTCTAGAATCCTAGCAGAAACGCGAAAAATTATTATGCTCAAAACGAAGTACTTAGATCTCCTTATTAACCTTCCGGTTTGTTGGGCATGATGGTAGCAAAATTCGCCGGACAATTTGATCACCTTGTGATCTAGACAGGAGCGAGGCTCCCTCTTGACCACTTGAATGTGCTTCTCTTTTTTTTTCAGCATACTTCTCCTCCTAGGTAAATACCCCGCTGCAAAAATTCACTTGGCATAATGAGAATATTGCATCTCAATCCAAAAGCAGTAGATCAAACTTCAAAGTCGCCTTGGGAATAAAATCCTGAATCTGCTGGTACAATTTGTTAAACCCTAGCAGAAACGCGAAACACTATGGGTGCATATAACGAAGTTGATCTACGTATACAACCTCCTGGTAAACATGGCTTGTGAACGTAGCACAAAATTGAACCTGAATTGGATTCACCCAAACAGAACCGAAGCACCGCAATTGAATTGAATCCCTGGTACGAAGGGGCATGTGCATGCAGCAAAAAACCAACGTGAAATTCAATACACGTGAACAGTAACAAGGCTGAGTGTATCTGCTGATTTTTCTTTCCTTGATCAACGTGCTGGAGTAGATGGATTGCTGCTTTTTCTCCAACACGCTGCGCGGCGGCACCAAATCCCGATCGGAGTCGACGGCTGACTCCGCTTCGTACCAGCTAATCTTATCTCAGCAAACAAATCAATCTGACGGCAGCGATAGATGGAACGACGCGACGACACGCGCCTGCTACTGCCGATCAGATCTTGCGACGAGCGTACCGGCGGCTAAAACTTGCAGATGGGGTCTCCAAGCAGACTAACTCGGCAGCCAAGATGGTAGTAGATCGATGCTCTGATACCACTTGTTATGAAAATAGATGCACAACGGAGACACGGATTTTTACGTGGAAAACCCTTGCGGGAAAAAAACCACGGACGCCGACCGGCAATAATCACTGTAGAGGAATTGGATACAAACGCAGGGGATACATTGGGATGTCGCACCCTCCCTGTGCGGCTTACAAGGGATATATATAGGAGAAATCTAGGAGTCCTAATAGGAAACTAATCCTATAATACAGAGTCATATTAGATAACTAATCCGAATATATTGTGGGCCCAAAATTCGGATCACATATTTAACATTCAGCATATAATCACCCTTATAGTTTGATATATCTTCAAAACATTTCAAAGAACAAATTTCACAGTTTAAAGAATAGGCCATAGATCCAGGGACCCGTATGCTCAGTTGGATACTTGGATGTGGACAGTGACGGGTTCGAATGAAATGAAAGGCCGAAGCTTTAAATTCAGAGTAAATCCAGCTTTCAAGCCCAGTTCAAAAAAAAAAGAAAGTCAAAGCCCAACCCATAACATAGCCCATTCATTCTAGCCCATGGGCCGATTCAGTAAGACGATCAGGAAGTCTCCTCGTGGTGTCTTCCTCTCGAATCCGAGCGAGACATTGGCCTTCCTGATTCCTCCCTTCCTCCTTGCTTTGGTCAACCGCGTGTGTACCGTAGCGCCCAGCTCCGGGGGGAGTCGCCGCGCCGAGGAATATCCGCTCGCGACTCGCGAGGATGATGACGACACGGAACGAAAAGAAGCGGGGCGCGCGCGCCGTCGCTGTCCGCGGCAGCGTCAGCCGCCTCGCCTCGCCTGCCGAGCACCAGCAGACACCGCGAGAAAGTACAAATCGGAGTCGGAGCTAGCGCCACCCACCCCGCTGTCGCCGCGCTGACCCCTTCCACCACCACCACCCGCCTCGCCTTCCGCCGGCAGCGGCAGCGGCAGCGCCAGCACGCGGCGGCGGCTAGCGGCCGGCCCGCTCCTCCAAGACATGGCCGCCCGCTTCGGCCCCCTCCTCCTCGTACTCCCCCTCTCCTCCGCGCTGCTCGTCCTCTCCGCCGCCACGGCGCCCCGTGGCCGTCCCAGCCAAGGTATGGGAGGGTTGTGGATTGTTCACGATCGTGTCCGTGCTAGAGATTTGTTGTTGTTGTTGCTGCTGCTTCGCTGACCACCTTGTTGCAGTGGATGTGGGGAGGCAGCTGAGGGAGGAGTTGTGGGAGAGAAACCAAGGGCACGAGATGCTCAGGTCGTGGCGCGACGGTGACCCGTGCTCGCCGTCTCCATGGGAAGGGTTCTCTTGCCGATGGAAGGACGGCAACCTCTTCGTTGTCAAGCTGTGAGTTCCCTGAATCCCTCGTTCTCACTCTCACGATCACGGCCATCCATTGGTGCTATTCATTCGGCTTTGATGAGAATTTATTTGGTCGTTCCTTTGAATTTGTTATATATGCAAGTATGAATTTGAGTTGAATTGCAACTAATGTGGTACATACTGATGTCTTTGCAGGAACTTTTCTTCAAAGAAACTGCAGGGGCCGATTCCCGCCGCGATTGGTAACTTAACAGAACTAGATGAGATGTATGTTTCACTAATCTTTTTATTCCAAGTGTATTCGTGCTATCTCAGATGCTTGTTTTATATTCTTATTATTAATTGTGGGTGCAGTGATCTGCAGGACAACAACTTCACTGGTTCTATTCCAGAATCTTTCTTTGATCTCACACACTTGCTGAAGCTGTAAGTAGATGCTGTTCTTTACCATTTGCTCTTACAATAAAAAAAATGACTATGCACAAATTCCTTGTGTCATTCTGGGATATCAAGAGTTTTACATAATTTAGATCATGCTGGTTTCAGTTGATATACATCTCACATATGGACATGTCTTATTAAACATGATCATTTGTCCAGGTCAGTAAAGTGCAACCCCTTCTTGAACAATCAGCTACCTCATGGCCTATCTATCAGCGTGGAATTTAGGTGAGATATCTGTTCTGATGTTCAACGTATATGATCTTGAGTGGCAGTAACATAATTGTACTAAACTTGCTTATGGAATATAAAAGCTATGGAGGCTGCGCTTATCATAGTCCACCTGGAGCTTCCAATCAGAGAATAGCTGTTATTGGTGGTGTTGCCGGAGGATCTTTGGCATGCACTTTTGCACTTGGATTTTTCTTCGTTTGTTTCAACAAACGTGAAAAGAATCCTCAGAAAAAAGACTGCTCTTCTACAAGAAGTACGCACCCTTCTACACAAGTTTGTTCCCTTATGCTTAATTTAGATAGTACTCACTCTGTCCCAAAATATAGCAAACTAGTACTGGATTAGACACAACCTATTAATACATATCCAGATTCGTGGTACTAGGTTATATCAAATCCGATACTAAGTTCATATATTTTGGGACAGAGGTAGTAGGTGTTTTACACTCTTGCAAGTCTCTTTTTGCTGTTTCATTTGCATTTATGTGTCCGTATGTGCATTTCGTGTGCATGCGATAAGAAGCCTTCATTTGGTAGATGAAGCCGCTCTTATATATGTCTCACACTTTGTTAGATGAACATGCATGGTAGTAGGCCTTGAAATTTGAGAGCCGTGTAGTAAACAGGTTTATCCAATTTTTGCTCTTTGATGGAGGCTCATCAACAGAAGTAGGAGCTGCATTCATCAGTTCATCGTGTCCTATAAAATAAAATACACCTCATAATCACTTATTGTCTAAATACTCAAAACACCAATAAATTCTTTCTATAATGTTGTATGCAGATCCTGTTTTTGAAGAATGTAGCACCCACAAAGCTACAAACTCTGCAGTACAACAGTTATCCCTTAAATCAATCCAGAATGCAACGTGCAACTTCAAAACCTTAATAGGGGAGGGTGGGTTTGGATCAGTTTATCGAGGAACATTAGCACATGGTGAAGAAGTTGCAGTAAAGGTTCGTTCAACCTCGTCGACGCAGGGAACACGTGAATTCAACAATGAGGTACAGATGAAACCTGCCCCTGCTAGTATAAAGGAATCTTGTTGTGGGCTTGGGGTGAATCAAATTCCAAAAAAGTTGTTCATTGTGTTGCATTCTGGTAAAGAAGCTAAATATGGATTCTTTGGCCGTAAATTCAAGAACAAGGAAATGGTAGCATCATCAGTTGTCATATTGTTGATAACTTTGCATCAACAATCAGTTCTGTTTGAAAGAATACATTAATAATTAGTTGTTTAGTTTTTCAGTATTTATCTACTGAAATCATTGTTTTATGCAAAGTTCTGATCATCAATCAATCAATTGACACAGTTGAGGCTGCTTTCTGCTGTGCGGCATGATAATTTGGTCCCACTAATTGGATATTGCTGTGAAAAGGATCAAGAAATTTTGGTCTATCCATTCATGTCCAATGGTTCTCTACAGGATCGCCTCTACGGTATGAGGTTTCATTAGATTTAATCACTTTCAGTTTAAGACCCTTCTTTGATAAATAATATATTTCTTAGGTGAGGCGTCAAAAAGGAAAGTTCTTGATTGGCCTACCAGACTATCTGTTTGCATTGGTGCTGCTAGAGGTTAGCATTTAGCACTGTCTTTTTTGTCTGGAAAGGCCTCATCCCATTGTTTTTATTGTGATTGAAGAAAATCCTTTCTGTGCAATTCAGGGACATAAGTTACTCTGCAAATGTCTCAACATTGCAAACGCTTTCTATCATTTCTTTTACATGATCGAATGCTTGTTTTGCTTGTTCAGGACTAGCACATCTGCACGGTTTTGCTGGCCGCTGTATCATACACAGAGACGTTAAGTCCAGTAACATACTTCTGGACCACAGCATGTGTGGCAAGGTTGCGGACTTTGGTTTTTCTAAGTATGCACCTCAAGAAGGTGACAGTAATGCATCAATGGAAGTCAGGGGAACTGCTGGATATTTAGACCCTGAGTAAGTTTTTTCATTGCTTTCACAAAGGAACAAAACTTTTCTTTCTTTTCTTCTATATAACAATCAATTATCAATGCATTTGTTAGTTGAAATGCCTACCTGTCTTGTTCCCTGCATATATTATGTGATTCAACATCCGGCTTATCAATTATGCGTCTTTCTTTCAGATACTATTCGACTCAGTCATTATCAACCAAAAGTGATGTGTTCAGTTTTGGAGTGGTTCTCTTAGAAATTGTAACCGGAAGAGAACCTCTTGATGTTCAGAGGCCTAGGGATGAATGGAGCTTAGTTGAATGGGTAAGTTCTCATTGCGGACCAAGTGACCAACCACCAATCACTTATCTATCAAAACAAATCTCTCTCCTCAAAGAAAAAAAAAGTGAAATCTCATTTGTTCGGACACCTGCACAAAATGATTTCTAGCCACTACAATTCTAACATGTCTTACCCTGGTTTGCAAATGTAGGCTAAACCATACATTAGAGAATACAGAATTGAAGAAATCGTTGACCCTGGCATAAAAGGGCAATATTGTTCAGAGGCCATGTGGAGGGTTCTTGAGGTCGCATCAGCATGCACTGAACCTTTCTCGACCTTCCGGCCAAGCATGGAAGATGTTGTCAGAGAGCTAGAGGACGCTCTGATAATCGAGAACAACGCTTCAGAGTACATGAGGTCCATCGAAAGCACGGGGACACTTGGCTCCAACCGCTACCTGTCCATTGATAGGAAGATGTTTGCTTCGGGTTCAGCTCGATTCGCATCATTTGACGCTACGAAAGGGCATTTGCAAACGATGCCTTCGCTTCCGGGGTAGTTTGGCTGTGCAATGGCTATTGTTTTTATGACCTCAGGGGGATGTCATGCTTGTGTTGAAGGCATCAAGCAACGATTGGCAAGATAAGGATATGGAGATGCTCCGTAAACTATACCCATCTGTACAGATATCAGAATTCAGAGATCATGCAGTGATGATATGGGAAAAGCTTCACAAACAGAGCAGTTTTGCCTTTGCAGTTTGTACTGATTCAATGCTTCTGAAAGTGCCCTCATATACTACTCTTTGGTTTCGGTCTTAGATCACTTCATTGTTTCGATTCCTCCTCCTTCAGAAAGTATAGTACAAAGGATGTAATTCATTTAATGCTACTATATTGCCTTTTGCAATCTTTCAGACAATTTGAGTCGCAGTTATCAACAATTGGATGAGTGCGTCTTTGTTCAAACAAGGATTATCGATCTGGTTCACTTAAATCAAGCTGTACTGTTCCCGATGTTTCTTCCCAAGCGCTATGATACAGGAAGTGTCAATTCAAATGGAATGGAACAATATGGCGTTACTATCAAAATCTTGTGATTTCATCTCTGAAATATTCTAGATATCTTACACAGGTAAATCGTACGCAACAGAATCAAAAAGAAAATTGAGAAAGCAAAAACAAATGTGACACCATGCCCACAACCCCAGCCATGTGTACTCCTAAGGAAGAATAATTCAATACCTTCAAAACCAAACAGGGAGAATGACACGATTTTGAACCTTTGGACGAGTCGCCACGAAAAAAAAAAGAGCAAACAAGGATCGAATGTATGTATTTTTGGTTCTCCATTTTGAATTTATGGTTTGCTTGACAAGATTAGAGTTCCAAGCTATAATATGGTTCATAGTATTTTTGGTTCTCCATTTTGAATTTATGGTTTGCTTGAAAAGATTAGAGTTCCAAGCTATAATATGGTTCTTATATGAGTTCATTGTTACACACTTTCCAATTTCCAGCCACTCCACATAGTACATGTAAAAAAAGGCAAAGAGTATAACTGCAGGTAAAGGTCCATCAAAAACCTCCAGAGGAAGGTAAATGCTTCAGCAGGTGACTTCCGAAGGAGAGCATGAGTCTTGCGCTCATTGGTTTCTTTTCAATTAATGTTAATCCAAAAACACTTAACAAGACACAGAAGGATGACCTGAGGGTAAATATCCATAAAATCTGGAAAGAGCATTGGGTCCATCTGTTCTTGATATAAGCTTGAACAGTAGGAGGCATATGCACCAAGCTATAGCTGAAATTGGCAATGAGTTGTATAGGCTTCCTCCATTAGTTCCTTAGCCCAACTCAAAGTTCGACGAAGTATTGATTCTGAACACAATATCAGATCAATTAGTTAAACAACAGCTAATCTAACATGCAAAAGGTTAATAAAAATCCAAGGAAATAGCTGGGCATGAAATGCCTTACCCATTTTCATGTGATCTAAGGTATGCCAAATAATTCATGACTACCTTTATCAGCAGATTTGTCTGCCCCAAAAAATTCACGAGTCCCTTTATCAGCAGATTTGTCTGCCCCAAAAAATTCACGAGTCCCTTTATCAGCAGATTTGTCTGCCCCAAAAAATTCACGAGTCCCTTTATCAGCAGATTTGTCTGCCCCAAACAATTCACGAGTCCTGTTATCAGTGGACTTATCTGTGGGGGTGTTGTCAAGGACTTGATACTGACGGTTAGTCATGTGCCATTCATTGACAATAATGGCTGAATCGGTAAAATGAGAACTACTTCCCTCACCATCAGAAGGAAATGACACTGCACCATCAGTTAATCTCCGTGGTCGCCGGACAGGTCTGCTGCTCCTGCTTGAAGATGGGAAGTTTCCTTCCGCGCCCTTCTGCTTTGTCCCAATAAAGCCACAAGCAAGAGCTTCCAGAGCTCGGGTTGTTGGTGGGCGGCTTCTGGTACTCTGCCTCCTCTGCTCACTCAATAGCCCATTACAGGAGGCATTGATGTCTGGAAGACAGTCATCCATCCTGTTGGTTTCAGAAGAATGTATAGATCTATCCATTGTATGTGTATTCTTGTCAGAAGAAGGCACGATGTAGCTCACAGCTGACTCATAATCAGAAGGCACTTGTGGAATATTCAGATCAATAACATGCTTATCTTGGGACTTTTCCTTGAGTACCATTTTTTCATCGGTAGGGGGCACATTGTACTGCTTGTGACATAAATGAATGTTACTCATGTCAAAGTTTATGGTAGTTGATGAGTTCGGAATTGAACCCCATATGAAAGGCTTAGCCCCTGCGCTTGCTTCATTTGATTTAGACACATCATGTTGTGCGGTGTCAACTTGCTTCCCATGCTGTCTTTTATTGGCAGCAGTATTTCTGCGTCCAGTTCTCTCATTCTTACAAGATACTAACCTCCTTCTCTTTGCAACAGATGCTGCTAAGAAAATCTGGGGCTCAGGAGTTACCCTTTGATCAAACTGAAAGTTTATTTCAGTGGAAGAATTAGTAGCATGGACCCTTTGAGTACCGACAGGAAGAATAGTTGCAGTTGAGGAACAGGCATTATTCATTAAGCTGAAACCTTGATCAAATGACATGTGACCATTGGTTGATGTCATTGTGCCTGCGAAAGTAGAATTCTTCTGAAGTACATCAATATCCATCCTATCACCTGTTGGTGGTTTACATTTCTTCTCATTGACATACTTAGCACCTGTCTTGTTTTGATTTGTATTTATATGTTCATAAGACTGAGAGCTGTCCTCTGAGTCAGAGTGTTCTTCTGAACTGTCACTCCCAGAATCTTCTGAATGTGGTGAAGACATGTAACCATGACTGGCATCTGTAGGTAGATTTCTTAGGGACCTCACCTTGCATGGTTCTTCTCCTTGAACAACACTAGTATCCACCACAGTAAATTTCATTAGCTCTGGTGAACACCCAGGTTCACTGGGCCGGGTATAACAAGAAGATTTCTTGTCAGTAACTGTGCTTTTCTCAAGTTCAGCATCATGGATCCATCCATTTTCAATCTTGAACCCACCTTCACCATTACTACCCTCAACTCCAAATTCAAGCAGTCTTGGTTCTGATGCAACTTTGCTTAACACATCACTAACAGAATCAAAATAATGATTTCCTCTGACAAGCTTCTTTCTAGAAAATTTCTTTACGCCTGGAATGAGGAACACTAAAGCATGCTTGCCAACTAGAGAAGAATCCTTAGGCTGCTCCGAGTGCCACCCTCTTGCAAGCAGGCGAGGCCAGACAGCCTCCCAGAATAGATCATTAGATTTTGCCTTGCTTAGTCTGAAATCACCAGTCAAAAACTTTATGATGTCTCCAGATGAAAGCGATGAGCAAGCCTTGCCGATAGGGATTTCTGCACGTGTTGAGATACCATGGTTTCTACTAGGATCTAATGCAAATCCAGTCAAGTCATATTTTCCCTTGCCAATTCCAACTGCCTCTACAAGAACTCGTGCGCCAACTGTGGACCTTAAGGACAAAATAAACTCCTCAAAGGTAGATGTTCCCTCGTTGAATGTTTTAAAGACCTGCAGGACACCATATACCTCTTGAGAAAATTAACAACAAATATAACTCAATGCTTGGATTCTTTGAAAAGTAGAATGACATGATTTTAATGGTTTTATCATGAAATACTAGTGCATTAATGCTAATGGAAGGTAATCCCAAAGTGTTTTTAGCATAATGGGAAGTCTAGAAACAATGAAACATAAATACAGAAGTGATTGCAAACATCACCTCACAACGCATTAATGTTCACTAACTCAAACATATCTAACAGGGAATGGAAAAGAGAAGGTAGTAGTTGAGCACACCTCCAACAAAGGATGTTGAACTTCCCTTGCTATACCAGCAAGCATACGTGACAGCAGTTCCTGCTGTCTTGTACCAGAAAATATGCGCAACCCAAGTATACATCTCCGGCTTCTTACTTTTCTACATGCAGCCCATCGATTATATGAATCAGACCTGAAGAACTCTCCGTAGTAATAGGATAGAACTTCTCCCATTGTCTTACATTGCAAAAATTTTGTCACCTGAACAAGATTTTTGCCAAAAATATATAGACCAAGAAGAAAAGTTTGTGCTTCTTCATCAGTCCAGGAATAATGTGTCATTCCTGGCAGAGGAATATAATCACTGGCTTTCCCATTTTGTAAGCAGTTAATATCTTGTTCAGCAGATTTTAGAAGTTTCTCATCATGCTCATCACATTCAACTTTACAGCCTGGAACATTTCTAGGAATATCTTCTGTGACGTGGCTATTACATTCATCTTGTGAAGAACATGAACTGCGTCCTGAGAATCCTGTCTGCTCTTTTTTTACATGATCGCTTGTTTTTTGGGTCCATGTGACTGGAATAGCTAGTCCCACACCAACAGGATAATCAAAACCGAAAATTCCACTGTCATCAACTGGACATGACCTTAGTTTCATGCGTTCCTCTTCTGTTGCTAGATTTGGAATTTCCACCTGGTACTCATCCCCCACACGTGGGTACACTCGTGTATCTTCATTAACCTCTTCAGGACATATGGGCTCTAGAAACCGTGGCTGCTCAACAAGCATCTCTATTGAATGCTCTTCACCATCCTTGATTTCAATAGGATCCATCTAAAAAAAGAATACACCAGATTGTGATCCAGAATGGTTGAACATATAGCTGAGCAATACAGTATGATTATACAAATGAGCATGTCTACCTGGTACTCTTCATCATTTTTTACTTCAAGATCATCCATCTGTAAAAAAAAAAAAACAGTGAAGTATAAGGAGTGTATTAGCCAACTGTTGAGTGGTCAGTCGAAACCCATGCATATAACCTGAACAGCAATGTAAACCCAGGACAAGTCTGCAAACAACTTGGTATGAAGATTAAAGGGAAAACTCATACCTCAAGCATCAGTGAGAAAGCAAATTTTGTCATTAACAAAACCAAATTCCAGTCCGATGGACAACTAAAGCTCTAACATGTCCAAATGTACTGATTTGTAGAGCACTTAAAGTATAATGAGTTTGTTGTATTGAATTATGCCAAATTCCGTCCTTGAAAGACATGGTTTTTGTCTTTACAAACTTGATCTGACAATTGAAATGCAAGATAAAAGGCAAGTACATTTATTAGATTTTGGCATAATAGATAATTAAAAGTTTTATATATATATGACGGGACGGCAATATAAGAGAACTGCAATTTTAAGATTCAAGAAGCAACATAGTTAGGGCCGATTTAAATGCAGCGTGGTTCTTTACAGCTCATAAGAACATGCAAGTTCAATATTAGGCTACTGGTATTAATTATTGAAAAAACAATGGAGAATTCCATGACCTACAATTGCTAGTTCTCAATTATCTCGGAGCTAGTAGTCTAGAACTCATGAACAAATGCACGCCGCCCATATCTAGACAATTCAAAAAAGGAAAACTTTTATTGAGGATCCTCAGGTGTTCGCGCGGGAACATTGGATGGTACATTTGATCAAAAGATATTCAAATACGCTACTAGATCCAAAACACTAACTACCTTAATCATTACATTCCTATCAGCATAACGAATTACGGCGCGGAAAGCACCAGGAGTGTTCAAGCACTGAACCCCCAACCCGTTACAACAAAACGTTCAAACCTCCCTTGCCACAGAGCCCCGATCTTCGACTACGCGGGGCAATTACAACCTCGAACGCATCTCAAACTATTCCCAAAACAGTTCATCACCACCCACTGCGCACATCCACGCCGCCGCTCGCGAACCACGACCGCATCGACATCGCATCCCCCACGCAATGCAATGGAAAATAATTTACATCCGCAACGAAGGCTCTCTGATCCAGATCGGAGGGGGAGGCTCACCTCGCAGTGCAGCGGGGTTAGCACGGCCGGGGACCGACCGGGATCTGGCGCCGCCGCCGCCGACGACGACGACCGCTACCCCGACCGTACGAGGGACACCTGGGATGGGAAGACGATGCGCCGACCTGGACCCTGGAGCTCGATAACGACGAGCGGAAAAAGGAAACCCAAAAAAAAAAAAAAAGCGGCGCGGCTTCGAACCAGACCACGACACGGCCGCGCGTCGAGCAGGCAGGCGGCGGCGGCGCGACAGCAGAGAGAGAGAGACGGCGGGGTAGTATACCGCGGATACGCGGTGGTGGTGACCGGGACGAGTTGATGACGGCGGCGGCGTCGCCCAGTTGGCGAGGGCGGCGTCCCCGTTGGAGGCGAGGCGAGAGGGGGGGGGGGGGGGGGGGGAATAAGCGAGAGGGAGAAAGGGCTAGGACCCCATCATTCAGTGGCGAGCGACGGGGGTTAATTTTAAGCTGCTGCTTCTATAGTGCTGGTCTAGAGTTTGCTTGTGGACTAAAAACCGCAAAAGCTAGTACAACCCTAAACATCTCCCCCATGAGGATAATTGCTCAGAATGGCAGTATGGCACATATAGTAAAAAAAAATTTATTAGTTAAGGAGGATGTGGGAGTTTAATGGAACATGAAAATATGGGAAACTATGCCGAATCGATGTGTGGCTCGTGAGATACTTTGTCCAGATTATGATTTCGTATATAGAATTAAGTAAGCTCATATGGTGACTACTTTGTGACGTAGATCGGTTTGGATGAAATAATTAAGTTGGCTGCTAGATTGAAGATAGTAGTATAGTTACGACTATAACTCTACGAAACAATATGATGTGACAATAAATATATGATAGGATAATTTACAATCAAAAGACGTGCACTGTAGCACTATATTACTACCTTGCATTAAGAACCGGTGACACGTATAATTTAGAAGTGAATGAACATATCTGTGGAATTTTATCTATCATTAAGTTGTAATTTGTGAAATAAATATAAACATCGAACGCTTTTCTCTTCAAAACACTAAAATAATGGAGGTGCACATGATAATTTTTTTTGTGAAGAATAATTATTAGCAAGTGGTTAGTTGAATGCCTATGGTCTACCATGAACAGTGATAGTAGATTAGCAAATGATTGTATCATTATCTCCACGATTACAACAATTGAAAGATTGGGTGTGCAATTTAAATTGTTGTGATAGCCAAGGGCCCAAGGCATAACATATTTCATAGTAAAATAGTTAGGTTAAATCTAACCAGCAAACTGAAGAGGAGGTTTTGATGCTTAAAGTTACAATGTCACTCACCCCGTCCTATTTTAAGTGCAGTTCTAATTTTCTGTGTCTAACTTGTGACCGTTCGTCTTATTTGAATTTTTTTATGATTAATATTTTTTATTATTATTGGATGATAAAATATGGATAATACCTCATGTGCGATTTTTTTTTAATTTTTTTCATAATTTTTTTAAATATGACGGATGGTTAAATGTTGGATACCGAAACCCACGATAACACTTCAATGGGACAGAGGGAGTATCTTGGAATGGCAAGTCCAAAGTAGAGGGACAAAGTTCATTCAAAAGTTAATTTTAAGTGTTTATCTGCATGATCATCTGTACAACTGCCTTGAGAAAGTTTAAGCATCAACCTCACATTTATCATATAGTATTTATTTATCATACAATATTATCTTATAGTAATGCAATAATAGAAACTAATTCTCATGTTGAAAATTGGAACTCATTCCATAGCCCAAGACTAATTTCTAAAGTGAGTTTGGATTGGTCTACTCCACCCGTAATCATGAGTATGCTTCCCAATCTGTTAAATGTTGTTTATATAATTGTTTATTCAAAAGAATCAAAATGAACCTGCTTTTTCAAGTCTATAATATTAATACTTAATTAATCATACGCTAAATGCCTCCCCATATTTTACGTGCTGTGCAAAATCCCAACAAACATATTCAAACACACCCCAAATGGACCCAATACCTGTCAGTTATGAGGTATCTAGGCTCATCGGTGTAAAATAATTAAGGGCACGATTTGATCCTGGGCAAACCCCATCCTAGTCTCTTCTAGCAAAGCTACGTATTTGGAACCGGTATAATAATCTGGCTTTTGGCGGCGAGCTAGCTTGACGGAATGAGAAAAATCTAGCTTGCTGATCGGCTCTCTTTTGACGACAAACTCCATTCGTGTGGAAAATATTGGAACGAGGGGCAAAACAAATCCCCGAAATTAGCGATTAATCTCTGTCACAGAAAGCAAAATTCAATTGGGAAAAACTCAGCAACAAGAGGCAAACTCACCTGCAACAACTAGCCATTAATCTCTGTCACAGAAAGCAAACAATCCAAACAGAGAATGCATGACAAGGCTAGCAAGCGGGCAAAAAAGAGATGGTTTAGCGTTGCCAAGCTAGACTAGCTGGGCGAGCGAACCAAACGCTCCCTAACATGCTTACTGTATCTGTGCCCATCATTGATATTTAGACATCGTTGTGATTTATCTTACTATTTACTACTCCCTCCATTTTAGGTTACAAGATGTTTGACTGCTTTAAGTTTAACTAAGTTTATAGACAAATATAGTAATATTTACGATACCAAATTAGTTTTATTTAATTAATAATTATATACTTTTATAATAAAGTATCTTGTGTCAAAAATATTACTGTTTTTTATAAATTTTGTCAAACTTAAAGTATTTTGATTTTAACCAAAGTCAAAACATCTTATAACCTGAAACGGAGGGAGTATAAAATATTAAATACATTTAATTTAATACAATAATTATCGTATGAGCCATCCTAATCATACATTTTTTGTTTGGTTCGATGTGCACCCTAATCATAAATGGAGCTGCAGGTGGTGCCAAAAGAGGGACTGCCAAATGGTTTACTCCTTCCGTTCAAAAAAAGACAAACCCTGATTTCCGTGTCCAACGTTTGACCGTCCGTCTTATTTGAAAAAATTATGAAAAAAATTAAAAGATAAGTCACGCATAAAGTATTAATCATGTTTTATCATCTAACAACAATGAAAATACTAATTATAAAAAAATTCCGTATAAGACGGACATTTAATCGTTGGCACAAAAACCTATGGTTTGTCTTTTTTTTTTGGAAGGAGGGAGTAGAACACGAGGGAGGGTGCCGTCATGCAATGCGTGGAAGCCACCGAAGTACGACTAGTGTGGTTCAGTCATGTTCTGACTCCCGACGGTTTTATCGAGTACTAGTACAGAAGGAAGCAAACCAAGCGAGTTGATGAAAACTCAAAACAGAGGACGCAAACCACAGAATGTTTCCGTCGCTGTCTTTGCTGGCTGCTGCCACGGCTTCCATTCCTCCCGTCCCTTCCTCCCACTGACACGCGGGCCCCACGTCCCCCACCCCACGACGTCTCACTGACATCCTGTGCCCCACCCCCACCAGCGCCTCGGCGCGTCCGCCTCCGCCCGCCGCCGCCGCGGGGGCCATCCTCCGTGGACCGCGCCCACGGCGTGTCCCCTGCGTGCGTGGCGCACCCGCACGTTTTGTCACATTCCGCGGCGGCGGCGTGCGTGCGGGCGCAGTGGACCGAGCCCACGGGCTCGCCACCGACGACCTTTCTCGCCCCCGCCCGCGCGCCGACCTTCCGTACGGCGTAGCGGAGATACAACCGAGGCTTTCGGCGCCGAATCTCCCGTCCACCACCTGCCCCCGTCCCGATCCCCCGCCGTCCATCCACCTCACCGACGGCCGGATGCGCCCCCGCGTGGCGAGATCGCGGTCGCGGGGGCAAAAACCCAACCCCCCAACCCAACCCCACCGCGACGCGAGCGGTCGGTCACCACCGTCGCGCACCTGTTTGAATCCCACTCGTGGGCCCCACCCGCGCGCAGTAAATTCCCTCCCCCCACCCCCCCGAGAGCAAAAAAATCCCCCGACCGCCTGAGCCTCCGCGCCCACTGACAGGTGGGTCCCACGTAATGCCCCGGGCCCTCGTGTCAGCGACAGCGGAGGGAGGCGGGTCGGTTTGCGGTGGGGGATGCGAGGGACGTGGCGCCCGAGGAATTAGACCATTTAACTCGTCGCCACCACCACCAGTAAACTGCGAGTCCTCCTCCTCTTCTCGTCGCCGTGCTACTCTCGCTTTCTCTCTCTCTCTCTCTCACTTGTTCCCCAAGGCGAGAAGCAGCCGCCGCCGGCGAGCGTCGCGGGGGAGGGGAGGGAAGGGAGGGAGGAGCGGTGGATCCGGGCTTGATTGGATTGGGTCGGATTCGATTTTGGATCAACCCCGGAGGGCGGGAGGTAAAAACGCTACTACTCATTTATTGCTTTCCTTTCCTTTCTCCGGTCGATCCGGCCGAAATCGGCGATTGCTCGCCGCGGAATCCCGATTGGGTGTGGGGGGATGGGCTGATCTCCTTCCGAGAACCGGGAGCTCGGATGCGTCGAGTTGGTTTTGTGCTCCTTTTGCTTTCCCTTTTTCTGGATTCGGGTTTCCATATTGGAAGGTTTCTTGATCTCGATTTCGTGGCGAGAGCTGGTTGCTGAATCTTATATAGCTTTCCTTCTTCTTCTTCTAGCGGTTGCTACAGATGCGTTGAGCTTTGGTTAATCTATCCGGCGAGAGATAATGGGCGAGCTTGCTGATCTCGTTGTCGTGCCGTCGCAGCCGCCGCTCGCCGGCGGCCGGCGGGACAGGCTGGCGGCGCTGCTGGAGCTCGCGGCGGCGGATGATGTTGATGGGCTCAGGGGGGCGCTCGCGGAGGGAGGCGAGGAGGCGGCGGAGTTGGCTGATGGGGTCGGGCTGTGGTATGGTCGGAGCAAGGCGTACGAGGCGCGCACGCCGCTGATGGTGGCGGCGACGTACGGCAGCGCCGGGGTGGTCTCGCTGCTGGTGGGCCTCGGCGGTTGCGTCGACGTCAACCGTCGCCCTGGAGCCGACGGCGCCACCGCGCTCCACTGCGCCGCCTCCGGTGGCTCGCGCAACGCCGTCGCTGTTGTCAAGCTGCTTTTGGCCGCTGGCGCCGATCCGGCCACCCCCGATTCCGCCGGCCGCTTCCCCGCCGACGTCATCCTAGCTCCTCCGGCTTCGCCAGATGCCCTTGGCGATCTCGAGGTGCTCCTCGGCCGCCGCCGAGCACTCGCCGTGGCGACCTCGGTGGCTTCAGGTTCGTCATCCCCTCCGCTCTCGTCCTCACCAGATGAGGGCAACAGGTCGCCCTCGTCGCGTTCGTCGTCGCTGTCTCCCATCACTGTGGATCGTGGGAAGAAGGAGTATCCGGTGGATCCAACTCTGCCGGACATCAAGAGCAGCGTGTATGCTTCGGATGAGTTCCGCATGTTTGCGTTCAAGGTCCGGCCCTGCTCCCGTGCCTACTCACACGACTGGACTGAGTGCCCGTTTGTGCACCCCGGCGAGAACGCCCGCCGCCGTGATCCCCGCAAGCACCCATACACTGCTGTGCCTTGCCCCAACTTTCGCCGGCCTGGTGGCTGCCCTAGCGGCGATAGCTGTGAGTTCTCGCATGGCGTGTTTGAGAGCTGGCTACACCCATCACAGTATCGCACAAGGCTCTGCAAGGAGGGAGCAGCTTGCGCCCGTCGCATTTGCTTCTTTGCCCATGATGAGGATGAGCTCCGCCATGTGCCTCACAACAGTGGTGCCGGCCTGCTGTCTCCCCGCGCTTCTTCATCCATTGATATGACTGCTGCAGCTGCGCTCGGGCTTCTTCCAGGTTCTCCTACCAGACACTTTGCACCGCCGCCTGTGTCACCATCTGCTGGGAGCAATGGAGGAGCTGCTGCTGCGCATTGGCTCCAAGGCAGTAGGCTGCGTTCTTCTTTCAATGCAAGGGATGCTGCTGTTGATGACCTTGGCATGCTCCTCGAATGGGAATCACAATACCTTGGGGCACTCTGCCTGCCACCCAGCAGCCGCCCCCAACCACGCCTTTCAGCTGGTCTGAGTATCAGGCCAACAATTGCTCCATCCAATCTTGAAGACATGTATGCTTCAGACATGGCAATGTCTCCGAGGTTCCCTAATGACCAAGGTCACTCAGTCTACTCACCAGCCCACAAATCAGCCCTCCTCAACAAGCTTCATCAACAGAAGGGCCTCTTATCACCTGTTAACACCAACAGAATGTACTCCCCAAGGGCTCTTGATCCGTCATCTTTGGCACATTCTCCATTTGGTGGCATGTCTCCCCGGTCCCCCCGTACCATGGAACCTACATCACCCCTAAGTGCTCGTGTAGGAGCCCCTGCCACACAGCGGCCTTCTGTTGGTTCACCACGGAATTCCAGTGCTTGGGGCACCGTGGGGTCCCCGATGGGTAAGGTTGACTGGGGTGTCGATAGCGAGGAGCTAGTCCGCTTGAGACGCCCTGCACAACCAGGGTTTGGAGAAGATGAGACAGATGTATCATGGGTGCAGTCACTGGTAAGCAATGCTGAGCTTAATGGCAAGAGGGGCGAAGTACAAGGCATGCCTGGTACTTCTGCATTGATGAACAGGCCTGACCTGAACAATCAGGGTGACTTGTTGGACCAGACGGTGATCGGTGCTTGGCTTGAGCAGATGCACCTGGATCAGAAGTGATTTCCAAGGGAAGCCATGAAGTCCCAAAGTGGATGAAGCCTTTATTTTGCCAAGGTTATTTACCAAAGAATAGTTGTTGGTCCTAGTAAATAATAATTTATTCTTTTTAATTCTTGAAATTTTTGGTGGGCAAAGTCAGAGATGGTGGTCAAGTTCAACAAAACATTTGGTCACAGATTGGTAGCTGAAATCAGTTCCAGAGATTGGTAAACAACCTCATTACTTGGGGTCCTAACTAGTATTCTTTTGATTAGCTCAGATGAGTCTTTATTTTAGTGGGTTAAAATTCATATGTTCCCCATGGTTATTATGTCCATGATCTCTTCCTAACAAAAGAGAGATTATAATTGTCCATTTTTCATTTATCAATGAATGATTTTGTTAAAACAATGTAAGTTACATTCTTAATTTTTTCTCTGTTCAATGGAATTACCTTCCTTGGTTAGTCCTCTATTGGATTGTGTTTTGATGCGCTTTCTGACTGTTCCTATCAATGTTTGAGACATGGGAATGGGCCACTGCCATAAAATTGTGTGCATAACCATAGTTGGAAATTTGACCTGGCTAGGCAAAGGCAGACACTAATGGACATAAAAAGCGATATAATAACTGCTCATGGTACTGTATCTAACTGCTCCCAAAAATATTCATTATGTGGAACAATGGAAGGTTCGTTCTCCATGATTGTTATCCATGAAACCAGTATTATATTTATTTATTTACTAAAAAAATGCCCGTGCGTTGCAATGGGTGAGGACTATTTTAATCTTATTATTGTTGTATTATTTAGCTAAAGTGAAATTCTGGGAATTCGCTTGGATATTTTTCTTACAAAATTATAAGATACAATTAGGAGTCCGATCATCTCATGTTAGCCCGCGAATTTGTTTAAAGAGATTTTTTTATGCAACTCCTTTTGTATTTCAAGTGTACGAACTTAAAAACCGACTCAAATACATTCCAAAAGCGAATGACTTAAACCGACTCAAACACGATGACGCACCAAAGTACTGTATTTCCAAAAGCGAATTGACTTAAAAAACCAACTCAAACACGATGACGCACTAAAGTACGGGTAAAAAACAACTTCAATTTTTATAATAGTAGATATTTTTATAATAGTAGGGATAGAGATTACTGCGTGTTCTGCAAATATGGTCGGCTGTTTTCTCTATGATCTACTCGGAGTAAGCCTGATGTGTGGTTAATGCCCTCGGATTATTCCTCAAATCAGATTTATTTTCTCCATTCATGCGACTTAAATTGTTCTCCACGAAACTCACGCTAAGGGCAATAGTTTGTGTTAAGAGACCTCAATTCATGTTTGAACTCTGTAATCTGAAGTTCTGTAAGTTTACAATCGACTGCAGTTTTTCCCTTTTTGGCCAAAATTGAATAGTAATGAACTGCGTTGATCGGTCTTGTGTGAAATGAGATGCATTCATTTTCGCATCAAACCAGGCAGACAGAAAAACATTTACAGAACCTCATTTGTACTAGGGGAACACATCCTTGCACACAAATTTCCCCTGTACACTCCGTGCAGATCAACTAGCAAGTATGTTTCCTTGTACTAGATGCAAAATCTGAAACGTTAAATTACCACATCTCATGCCAACAGAATAAGTGGTTTGATAGTGTCGATCTAGCTTAAGCGACACAGAACCTGTCATGCTCATATTCACATTCCACTAACAAGCTGGAAATCCCATGAAAAATACAAAGCTGGAAACCCCTAAATAAATAAGCTGGAAAGATAATCTAAATAAACATTACTGTAGCACATCGACACAAATGTATTTGCTGTGCCCTTGCCAAACACACTTAAGAAACTGATGAAGTCAAGCTCATGTTTCATTTCTGGGGGTGCCAGCCTCTTCCGTTGTGGTTGAATTTGGCCCTTCGATCGCTGCTCTGACCGCTTCTGATTGTTCAGGACCGTTTATTATATAATTTGCTGGTCCAAACATAAGTAGCACAGTTTAGTTTGCATTGAAGCTGAAGGTTTTAGTGCAAAATAAGATGCATATCATACTAATGTATATGGAGTGCTGACATAACACAGGACAAAAGCAAATAGGATGTTGCACGGGCTACTAAAGCTTGCAATATTAAGGTGATGAACTTAATGTCTATAGTTTAAAATGGTAAAGGACTGAGTGCAGATGATTGAGACCTTGAATGAGACAAACACAAGACATAAGAGATAAGCTATGAAATCGTGACGCTGATGACAAGTCCACAGAAATGCTCAAAACTAAGCTAAATAAATTGAGGTCCCAATTCATCTCGCTATTTTATCATCTGCTCCCAGTTGTTACCACAGTTCCTAGTTTTTTGTTGAAGCAGAGGTTTGTCAGTCTAGAGAATCGATTTCAAATTCTGTACCTGTTGAAGCACCCCTGGCGGCCATGTGCTCTATGAAATGGATCTCATCTTCATGGCTGCTCACGAACTTGTTCTGGTTTGATTAGTGGCAATATGATTTGCATCAGAAATACATTCACGAAAAAATGCCTAAAGAAATGCATACTAGAAGCAGATACTTACTAGTTCCTTCGATAGAATATTTAGGATTCTATCGATTTTTGCTTGATGTTTCAGGAAAAACGGCCGCATATACCTTCTATATACATGCTTTGCTCCCTAAGTAAACAATAACACCATTATCAGCATGTACAGAAAATCAAATTTTCTAGTTCACCATTCATCGATGCAGATGTATCAAGTGCCAAACATAGGTCACACCAGTCAACAACCTTACAACCATCCAGAGGAACAATAGAACAAATCTAGCCACAAACATAGAAATAATGTTTAGCTAGACCAAAAGAATAAAATGTTTCCTAAGCGATTGACAGAAGACAATGCCAATTGAACAATGATATCAAGAAACTATAATCACAGGTTTTCATCTAGATGATCACAGCAAGTGCTTGAAATGGAAAAAAAATTGGGCAAAGCGATGCACAGGGAACATATGCAATGAACATACTGATTGAGCTATCATATAGCCAAGACTCAAAATGCTCCGGGATGGATTGTCCTACCAGATATATGGAACTTGTCAATCACACGTGTCATGTCTAGATACCACTGACCAAATAACCATCTGACCTGACCCTGTTAGAGACTATATTCTCCCCTTGATTTTGCCATTTTGGGTTCATGTTCATATAAAACGTTTGTCATGTGGTTTTCAGATAATGAATACCATAATAATATTCTTCAGTTCAGGTCTTATTTCTTGATAGCAAGAACATAGTAATGCTTTCTCTTTGGTCAATTATGTAGAAATATGAAAATATGAGGAAACATTTTAAGATCAGAGAGAAAGGGGAAGGGGGGGAGGGGGGCTTACACTGTTTGAAGGAAACTGGAGCCAGACAAGAATAGCAAACTTCACGTGATAATAGAAAGGAACACTGCAGAATATCACCAGAGTATAAATGTTCGAAAAGTTTACAAGGACATCAAACTTTACAAGATTAGAAACATCAAGTTAATAAAGGCAATGTAAATTTAAACCCATGCCCGGCGAAACTTTCAACCAAATATTCCTAGTAATGCAATTTCTTTCAGTTAATGCTACATTCCGCACATATACTGTCCCCATGCACTGTCAACTATTCGTAGGGTCCTCTTTCACACATCCTCTCCACTGGAATGTTTTGATTTATTCCATGGTTTATATAAACATAACCAGAAAGGCAGTTAGAAGCTGATCAATAAAGATCAGCAACTCGCCAGGTTATACAGGAAAATTCCCTGGTAGATTAAATGTTGTGTCTTAATGCACCATGTTCGCTTTTCTTAACTTGAACATGGACAAGCTGATTGACCACGACCACCAAGTAGTGAGAATGGTGATGAACAGCAAGGATTACTTCTTTGGTTTCGGAAGTACTCGGCATTGTCTTGGCCGATTTATATAGTTTTTGGTCAGAAAAAAGAAATGATCTACTAGAGTTCAATAGCTGTAGGCAGCAGTATATTGTGTGCTAGGAATAACATCTCCAGAATGCTACGAGTAGCACTAAATTCCCATACCTTGAAAGAATCTGATCAGCAAAGATTTCCGCAATGCTAAAAGATCCATATGCTGCAAAACATTTTGAACAAGAGCATCTAAAGGTCAAAGCAGTAAGTTTGATATACATCTGTATCTTTTCTATTTCTTAGAGATGTTCATTTAGATGAAAGCTGATTACACAAATAATTAACCAACTGCCTTTGTAACTATAAACCATAAGATCATACAGGTATGTCCTCCAAGGATGCAAGTGGCCAGCCGCTAACCCACAATATTAAATGGCCTTTTGGATGGGATAGTAGGCTGGCCCACTTGCATCCCTAAACTCCTCAGCAAAGTAACCATGTTAAGGTGATAGGACTAGTAAATGTGCAGAGTATTAGCTTTGACACTTCAAATAACTTTCTGAGCATGCAGACACCATATAAATAACTTTCGAAAAATGCAACAACCTCCGTCATCATTTTTCTTTTACTTTAGCAGTAATATTATAGCAATTGGTCACATAGAGTACCTATCAATATACTGAAAAGGTGCTTCAAAGTTAATAGTGAAAATTTCATAGGATTTTGTTTTATTACAGACCTGCCCAATACAAGAGCCACCGCTCTTTTTCTTTTTGATCCTTCTTTTCAATAGCTCTGAAAGTGGAGTACACAGGCAGACCAACCCCAATTGCACAACTGCAAAAGCATGAAGTGAGCATAATAAATTATGGACGAATTTCTTTTCCACAACAGTAATAGTAGTTCATTATTTTGAGGAAAGTATTGACAGACAAAAAATATAGTTTTTAGGTTTATTGCAGTTGCAGCCATTATACGGATAGGTGACTCTAAATCACCACTGTGTCGCCTAATAGCCAATATGAATATTGCAGTTTAGATTCTGCTTATCTCACATCAATGATGTTTATAGATGTGAGCATAAACTTGCGGTAACGCTTTCCCCATAGGTAAAAATCTACGTCATTGCAATGTGCTAATAGCCTAATATACGTAACCGTTGACAACACAACAATGACAGAAGTGAATAGCTATACAATGAACTAATTGACATACTCTTATGATGGTCCTAAAGAGAATAAACTTTCGATGTATTATTAGAAAAAAAATCAATCAACATAATGGACAAGCAACGCAGATAAGAGTAAAAATGCAATGAATACCTGGCTGTACGGATGACAACAGTAGAGCTTAGTGGTGCCAGTAAGAGCCGTAAACCCACCTGTCATAACAAATGCAATTTCAATACAAAGTTTCAATAAATCTCTGTAAGACAAGTATGGGGGTCATGGAACTTCCAGGAATCCATCAGAAAACACATTATGAGATAATATGCGTAATATAAATGTAATCTCTACCTCATACAAACAGATTGATTAGCCGAACTGCCCCAAATAAAAAAGAAAGAAATTTGAAGTGCCATATTTAGAGGCGTTGCAAAGTGCAAAAAATTACAAAAGGCCATAAAAAATGGGCTATCAGGAAAACGTTAATGTACTGATAAAAAGGGTATCTATCTGTTTCTGTTGGCAGACTGGATATATAGATTTGATCAAGAGTGATGCTCATTGCAAAACGAAAATAAGTTAACTCAAAGTTAATTTTTCCCTAAAAGCAAGCCCAAATAAATTTGAACGCGCTGAAAAACGATAAGGTTGAGTCGTGTCTGCCAAATTCCCGTGAGATGAATCCTCACGTCAACGGGTGGTTTGGTGGATGAACTAGAAAGCGTTCAGCACAAATCGGAACCCACGAGAAATTACAACTCAATCAGCTCCACCCCCAATACCATCCCAAGGCAATGGGAGCAAAATCGCATGGCTCCGGAACACAAAATCCACCGAACGAAGAAACCCCCATGCTAACCCACAATCTACCGTGCTCTTCCCGTACAATGAAGAAGAAAGCGTAATCCGAGGCGCGCCCTCCCCCAATCCACCCCGATCGTCCCCCCGATCCTCAAACCGAACGCGCCGCCGACAGCAACGTCTCAAGCGATCTAGGGTTTCCGTACGAGCCAGCCAAAGGGATCGTACCTCGCCGGAGATGGCGGGGGCCAGAAGCGCCATCGGCGAGTTCCGCACGCCGCGCGGGGGTGGAGGAGGAGGAGCAAGGGATCCCGCCGCGGAGGCGGAGGCGCGGCTGCGGTTTGCGGCGTGGAGGGCAAGGAATCCGCGGCGAGTTCGCGTCTCCGCGGGTAGGTCTCCCCTGAGTCCAATTGGTGGGGGGATGGTGGTGGTGGTGGTGGTGGAGGAGGAGGCGCCGGCGAAAGCGGGGGGAGAAACCAGAAAGCGGTTAGATGGAATCGGGTGCTTTGGGGGCCCTTTTCCGGTTTAGTCCCAATCTTACTCTAGATTTTTAATTTAGAGTCCATGTCTTCTTTCGATTTCAGAAATATATTAAATTTCTTCAGATAATTCAGGATTCTAGAAATTTCGATTATCAATAAAAATTCAATCAAGAAAAAGTAACTTTTTCTTACTTAAAAATATATTCTACTTCCTCTGTCCCAAAATGTAGCTATTTCTAGCACAGTACCTTGTCTTGAAATGAAGCTATTTTTCCACCTACCTCCTCCTCTCAACCAATTACAAATATTCTCCTTCACCTACCTTTTCTTTTCATCCAATTACACAACTTCTCCAATCATTCTCACATACTTTCTTAATACCCGTGCCAACATAAAAAATGCTATATTTTGGGACGGAGGAAGTAAGTAATTTATGTATAGAAAGATTATGTAAAAATTGTACCGCTTATAAAAACAAAAAATGTGTTCGTGCCATAAGGAGAAAAGAACCGGGCCCTAAAGAATGGCAAATTATCAATCGAGTTTTAGATAAGGGGGCATTTAACTATTTGCTACTCTTAAGATGTTATGATAACAGATTTGCCACTCGCTGTCTGTAACATGTGGGTTCTCATGTGTCTATGATATATGGGTCCAATGGCAAACCTGTTATCATCGCTTGTAAGAGTAGCAATAGTTATTTATTCCTTAGATAAGTGGCACATCCTAATTAAAGTGCTCGTTTGAAGGGTGGTAATAGGGCATAAAGAGTTATATTAAATTATCCCACATTCCTACTTATCAAACCGTAGCGGCCCGTTTGGTTGGATTGAGTTTTTAGGAGGGATTGGGAGTTTAGAGGGATAAAGCTATTAACTGTTTTGTTTGGTTGTGAGACATGGAAATTTCGGTGGGATGGGGATGAGAAATTGAGGAAGGAACTACCTCATTTTCAATACATGGGTAGTGGTGGTAATTGGGAGGGAATTCCTCCTTTACTCTGCCTAGAAAGGAACTCCCTCCTTTTCAATACCTGGCAGGGGGTGGTAATTAGGAGGGAATTCCTCCTTTACTCTGCTTAAACAAATCTCAACCATCCGTTTTCATTAATGACCTAATCTTCAACTAAACTCTATATCAATTTCCACCACCTCTACCAAACAACATATTGGGATTAAAAACCAAATTCCCATCTTAATCTCACCATCAATTACCTTGTGTAAATTCCCAATCCCCTTCTCTGAAGTTGCCAAACAAGCCGCAGATGAGCCCTCCATTTTCTTCTCAGTTTAACAGCAAATTGATATGGCGATTGATACAGTGAAATCAATCTCAGTGAGTCGTGAAACAGACAAACAGTTTAATGGTGGAGAAAAGAGTCTCGAGTCTGCTGAAGACAAACTTCATCTTTGCTTGAGACGGTCAGCTTGCAATTTGGCTGTCACAGGCAAATGCAGCTTTTAGTAAGCGTGATTCCAGCCTTCAAATTTGAAACGAACGGGTAAACATGATTTTCACCAGTAGTTTTTGGGAACAGGTTCAAAGCAGAGGGAATGCAGATCTACACATTTCGAGAAACAGAACGACAGAAAACTAAAATACAGGAAGAATTCAACATATCCGAGATATCTAATCTTATTGCTGTTCAAATTTTGTTGCAACAGCAAAAGGTGATGTTTATAGCAATTACAGGAGGCTTAGAAAATATAAATAAATTAAATACAGTCTATATAACTGTAAGCAGCTATGACAAAATAAACTACTACCCTACTTGCTCTTCTTCCCTTCAGTCTTCTGATACTGATATGGTGGGCAGTTGGCTACCTGAACAGATTCAGATCAGAATGGATAAATGCCGTGTGAGATATGAAAGGGACATTCGGGTACATCCCAGCAAGAGCGCATCGCATGCACTCGAGCACTGTGAAGATCTGTATGAAAGCAATAGCCATCCAGAAATACTGCATAGGCGTCCCCTGATACACGATGCTGGGCATCCAGGTGCACATTGTTGCCACTGCTTGGGAGCCAGTGTCCAGGAGGATAGCCAAGATGACATGGAACCTTAGAAAGTGCGGCGACCACTTCCGTCTCACGACAAAGAAGTACACTGTCATAAAAATCACCAGCAAAAGCCATCCTGGAAACAGTGTCATTGTATCGATGAAGGTGTACACCAACGAAAACCCCTGCAAGTATGTGTGTAGCTGGTAGATGACATCGGCATATGACCACATGTTGTGGAGTGGAAGCAAGTAGGGCACACATGCTACAGTCCTCCACCACCATCTGGGTTTCGAAGTCAACTCAGGGTAGCTGAATGACGCTAAAGAGGATGCTCGACAGCCAACTTCAAGTCTTCGATGCTGACTGTGTCGTGCTGCCAGTGATGGAATGCCCTTGATAGAATCATCCCTTCCGAACGATGCAAGCATGTCATTCTGAACAAAACCAGTGCCAACTGCAAGATATATCAGATATATCAGATATGCGTCAGAATTCAAAGCTCTGAATTACAAACTTACTGAGAATCAAAGACAAGTACAACCTACACAAAAACTGTCTCACTGCCGATATATGTTCTGGCTAACATCTAACTAGATAGCAGCAGCAATACAAGCTTTCTTCAATGTATCATGAGTTCACGATGATATTTATTTGACCCAATTTTTTTTCGATAAGCTGTAGACCCATTTCAACTACCACCTTTATTAAAACCTAATAAAATCAACATTTTACACAATGTGGTGCGTATTTACTTCATATATTGGCTTGTACTTGTACTGTCTACAATATACAGTTCATATTGGTCCTTAAAATGTGACCAGTGAATCCGAAAACCAGAAGTTCCAGAAGGGTATACAAGTGCACAATATCAGACTATCAACTGGAAAATAGCAACGCAATATATTAAATATAATCAAATATAATTGACCCGAATCCACAAGATGTTGTCAGAAATCACAAATAGGATAATATGGCATGAATATGCCAACATGGCAACAACTACAAAAGAAATGGTAGTTCAGTGCTACCAGCCCTCTGGACAAACGCATTGTGTTTACTCGTAAGTGCTGAAGAGAAAGGAAAGAATGTAGGGCAAAGAGTGAGCATGTCATCAAAATTCCCTAGTGCTTCATATTTTAAAAGAAGTTAGCAAAAACTATGTGCCTTATATTATGAAATTGAAAAGGTAAACTACTACTTATAATCAGTCATAAGTCATCATAAGTACTATGTGCTGCGTGTACACTTCGAGCAGCAGAAAAGAACTGCTTACGGTGTTAGAATTTGACAGAAGCCCCCCAGAACATAAACAAAGGTTACAGCCACTCACTTAATGTACAAACAGAATTACAAAATTTGTGAAGCTCATGATAATATGGTTGTTATAATTCATCGCAACATGCAAGTGAGAGAAATTAAGGAAAGCATTATGGGTAATAAAGGGCATATAAATGATACATCACAACAAATTTAAATGAGAGAAGCAACTTCGTCTAATCCATACCTCGCAAAGCTCCCATGGAAAAACTCTTCCTTTCGGCATGAAGTCGCGCACGTTTTACACTCCATGATCCCGCCGGAGTACCCAGGCACGATGTTCTCGCGAAAGAGACATTATGCTTAGCCGCAGGAAAGGCAAGCAGCTGAGCGTGTCCAGCAGATAAGCCTTGACAGAGAACCATTCTGCATAAATACAGCCCTTGCCGAATCACCGAATTACCTGGACAGACATGTGAGCGAATCGGATCACTGGATCGCAGAGAGCGAAACATTTGGGTTAGATTTGCGCCCAGAGAATAAAAAAACAAGAACAACATCAAAACAATCCAATCAAGTTGGAATCCATCACCCAACCACTAAAACCAATCCAAGTCCGGATGGATCCCCACACTAAGCCTGATCAGTATCGAGGAGGATTGCGAGAGAAGGATACCTTCACACCGAGCCGAGGTGGCGCTTCGGCGAGAGGAGACCCGACCCGCCCACCCGCGTGTTCGCCGGAGAGAGGAATCGATGGGCGCTTCCGCCGAGACGGGGAGGCAAAGAGGCGATTGCAGATAGGGTTCTCTTTTCCCCGATTTGCAGATCAGCCCCTACAGTTGCGGGAATTCGCATAGAGAGGATATTCTTTTTTTTTTCTCTCGTGTAACCTGTCAAAAGCAAACCAAGGGTCCAATTCTAGAATCGCAAAACCTGTAGCTTTAACATGCTTCAACCAAAATCTGATAGTAGAACATGCTCCATCTACAGAATAACACGGTAAAACACGAGGCTAAAAAACAGCAAAATGGAAAACGCAGTAATTAGGGACATGATTTCTCTAATCTCTTATTCACTGACATTCTCTTATCCCTAAGCCTCTTGGCTAACTCAGCTTGCCTACTTTGAGGCTAGGCATACACACTAGATAAAGGAAAAAACAATGAGATTAGTCTGTTTTAGAGAGTTTTAGATTATAAGAAACAACTAGTGAAAATTTAGCCGGTGAGAATATGGTTTTTTTTAGCCTCTGGCTTCTAATTTATTTCTTTGATTCGACAATTACAACTTCTTAAAATCTGGATTAAAAAACTGAATTATTTAAGAGAATTTTGAATTCAAGGAGAAGCTACATCTGCCCAAAAACTCTCACAAACATGCCATTAACATCATGAAAAATCTACTCCAAAATCCTCTATACAATTTCCATTTGATATCAGAAATCTATTAACTTATTAAAAGAATAGAAAAAGGAGCCTCCACGTTCACTCTCACGGCTTAGAAATTCTCATATTAATCGAAGAAAAAGAAAAACAGAGTCCATATAGAAATACAATTTAGAAATAGTTCAAATTCGAAATTAAAAAAATAAGAATATTGGAAGAGGAGACTAGAGTCCATATAGAAATATAAATTATAAATAACCAAAATTCTGAATTAAAAAAATAATATTATAAGAAGAGTATAGAGTCCATATAGAAATACAATTAAGAAATAACAAAAATTCAGAATTAAAAATAAGGAATATTAGAAGTAGATTATAGAGTCCATATAGAAATACAATTAAGAAATAACATAAATCCAGAATTAAAAATAAAAAATATTAGAAGTAGAGTATAGAGTCCATATAGGAATTTAAAACTAACTAAAACTCGGAATAAACATAATAAAATTAAAAGAATAGTTTACAAATAACTAAAAATTGATATTAAAATAATTAATAACTAATACTATATAAAATACAATATGAATATTATACATTAGTAGTTTCGTAAAGTTAGTATAAAATTTAAAATTATATTGTCATTTTAATATATTTGAATAATACATTGAGAAAACATATATGCTATTATATGAGAGAAAATATAATGATGCTAGCCGCGCAATCTACGCGGGCCACCATGCTAGTTTCAAAATAGAAAATAATATGTAATCTTATGCTTCAAAGTGCTCTATAGAATATTCTTCTCTAATAGGTTGGAATCCTATAAAACTCCTATCTTTCTCATACAAACCGAAACGGGCATAATTTTTTACTTGCTCCGATCTAAAATGTTGTTGCAAATTAGCCTCCAAAAAACATGTTATACATTTCGGTAAGGGACCACCTATACATTTATCGACAAATTTTCTACTAAAAATTTGACAGATGTAATTATAGTACAATCGTAGTGTAATTACACTGTAAATTGTATGTAATTACACTGTAACTACAGTGTAACTTGTATGTAAGTTTCATGTAATTTTGAATCGTTAGATCTATTACAAGATTTGTTCTGGTGAGGAAGAAAAAAATCATAGCACACACATATGTGAAAGGATTTGTTCCCACGACCTCTATTTTACTGAAATAACATGTTACCGAGAGATTCTTGAAAGTTACATATAATTTACATTATAGTTACAGTGTAATTATATACAAGTTACAGTGTAATTACACTACGATTGTACTGTAATTACATCTGACAAATATTAGGGGGAGAAATTTGATGACAAATATCTAGCAAAATCGTTTCGGTAAATTCGGCTTCTTCTTTTCCACCTTTGATGATCTCCCAGTTAATTGGGTCTCTTTTATGGACCTGGAAAAAGTACTTGTCTACTTGTACGCTATAAAAAGATTGGACCTCTACAGCCCCACCCAAACGGGCCCCTGACGGGCTCCATTTAGACATGGCATGGGCCTGAAAGACTCCAGAACAACTCAGGTGCCCCTTGGGGACCAACAGTCACGATCAACTGTAGATTTAAGAGCTTGTAGCTCCATCTCTGAGCTAGAGTTTAATTAGACGGTTTTAGATTTATCTCAAAATAAAGTGGAGCTAATTAAAGTGTTCTCACAAAACAAACTAAATAGGTAAAGCTGAGTTTAGGCTGCTCAATAATTTCACTCTAGACCTAACTCTTAAAAGTTAAATTTAAAGGTTGGAACCCTACTATTGATGGTGAGAGAGAGTATCTCTCTGTTTGCATGCCTTCTTTCTATAAAGTCATATAAGTTTTTAACACGATCTCCAAAGAAAAAATTGGCAATTATTTTTTATAATAATTTAGAATAACTATAAAACTAGCATCATATGTAAATATTTAAATATGAATATTTATATCACATGCATGACTCTGCATATGTCTTTTTATGATATTTATTAGTCAAATTTACAAATGTCGACCTTTTTTTTAATTACGTACATGCCTTATATTTATTTTTATATGTGGGAGAGTAGTACTTATTACAACGGTAAATAATTGAACTCACTAAAGTTTTATTAAAAGTGTAAGACCGACACACAATTATATACACCACGGGTAAGACTTGTCTAACGCACGTTAGAAGGATATGGTGCACTGACATGTGAGCCCATAATGGTGGGTCCTACCTGTTAGGGACCCACATCGCTCTTATTTTACATAAAATGAGCTACATCCTATACACCATAATCATGCCCAAAATATATCCACGCCACACGGGTATATCCTAGTATGTGTGTGAACAAGATTGGTTGGCTAGCATCGTGTGGTTCATGTGTAACTGTTGACATCAAAATTTAAAACCTGACATCCTGTTGTTATCGGGTGGAGTTATCCATCTACAACTCCACCACCATACATCATCTTTTTCGGTTTTCATTGTAATAGTATGTTTATCAGGTTTTATTTGTTTCGCAGTAATGGTTAAATTGTATTTCAAATACCATGTATTATATTCCAAATAAGGCGTTTTTAATCCGGTGACCGGGGGCGGTGGGAGACAGCCATTTGTGGTAGGGTGTCATCGATTCGGCGGTGTTAGCTAATCGAGAGCGTAGTCATCCTCATGAAATTGGCTTGCAAGGTGAGCCATCACTAGATCTTAACAGGAAACAGGGGTACTTGCAGCTTTGAATTGGCTGATGACACGCTCCTGCAATGCATTGCTGGCCTTGTCCTTGTGTATTAATCACTAGAGCCACATCTCCAGATTTTTTTTAGGAGAAAAGTGTCACTGGGCCAACCTTGCATTCAGACGTAGTACCAGCCAGTCATTAAACGTAAATCATGGCCAAAAACCAAATGATTTGCTGGAATACGGCGTCTTGATGAAGAGAGACTGCAACTTCTTATCCAGGCGACGCGATAGGAAAAACGGATCCGCCTTTATCGGAGGTCTAAATGCTGAGGATGAGAGGACATGTTCAATTTCTGAACCATCCGATTGAAATCCTATGGCTGTGATCAAGTGATACAAAAGGAATGAAACACTGCAAAATTCGCAGAGGCAGTACATCCGAAAAAGGGTAGCCGAAGTACCCCCAAGATACTGTTTGTGTTGCAGTGAACCGATGCTTGTCTTCTGGGACTATGCTTCAAAAATCGTCAACCAAATATCGCTCCCTAGCAGTTTCGTCCTCGGAAACTGACAAAAATGAGTGAAATTCAGATAGATTTTTATCAAAAAAATAAATTTAGTTTGATTCTTATTTTTTAAAAAAGAACTTGGGCGATTTACCAAGTGGTTTCTGGCCACAACCAGCTCAAGGCAGCTAATAACCGCGATAACCAAGCGGTAACCGTCCATTTTCCAAACCTGTTTGGGACACAAAACGCTGTAGCGTCTGCAGCTCGTGCGGCGTTTAACACCAAACAAGTTGAGAGAATTCAGGGGGCAAAAGGTGGGAGTCAAGCCGGGTTAGCTTCAACTGCAACAGAGGCTTGTCCGATGCTACCTGACCTAATCTGCATCCGATGCCGGCAAGACGAAGAAACTCCGGCCTAGGGGTGGTCGCAGACACCTGTGCCAACTAAACAGAAAGCAACGCGTACCGGCCAGATCCAACCAATTCTAGGCACATTTAAGTGCTGCTTTGCTTTGTTTTTGTTTCGTTTTGGCCCCAGTGATGTTGCAATTAGATTCTTGACCAGTTCAGAAAGTCCAACTTTAGGTGTTCAAACATGTAATACAGTCTTAATTAATTGCCCGTCTAACTAGTGCTGCAGTGTACCTGTCCCATCTTTTTTTTTATGGCAGCAAGGCCCCAGACCTTATTTTCTGTGGAGACAGGAAACATTAGTTTGGGTATGTATGTATTGCTCGGTTGCTCCTCATCAGATGGGCAATAGTACACTCCAACATTAGAATTCTTTCATATTTTCTGAATGGTCACAGGGGGAGCACCTCCATCTGAATAATGTTCATTAAAAATCTTCATGTTAAACTGTCATTTACACACAACAAAAAAGAATTGTAGGAAAGTAATGTTCTACAGATTTCGGATAACAAAATAAGCTATACACACCAGAGAAGGAAGAGAAGTAGTTAGCCAACAGATTTTGGACCATCCATTGCGTGTGTTGTAAGTTCAGTCTCTGACTTTCAGTTTCAGAGTATAAACCAAGCATTCTTAGGAAAAAGGAGTAATAAAACAGAACAAGGTTAGGAATGCACAAAAACCACCTACTTCCTTTTCCTTTCTCTTGTACAGTACATTTCGCCAAATGTTTGGCCACCCGTGGGGCATGGATCAATATAATCTAAATACAAACAAACAAACAAACCTTCCAACAATCACCTAATGCTTCATACGGGGCACCAAAATGAAAAATAGAGCAGTGGAAATCTCGAGAAATGAGAACG